CTGCAGACTCTGGACCTGGAAATTTCTTTTTCCAGTTTGGCTAAGTTTTAAAAAACCACGTGAGGAAAGATGCAGCAAACAGAATAAAGGCGGACCCAGTCACTTCTTGATGCTCATGCTCAGAAGTGTGTTGCAAGATCTTCCCACCATTCCTCCTCAAACAATTATTAATGATAACATTCACTCCTAAATTCACAGCCTACATTGATGCTGATGCACACCGAGAATCACAGGACTAATCACAGGCCTTGGTCACGGATTAACGATAACAATAAATAAGCACTGCAGAAGTCCTGTGGAAGACATTTGTATCAGCTGATCAGAGCATGTTGTAATTGCCAAAAGCTGACTCGTATTACATGTGATTTAATCTTAGAAAACTCGGTCCTCATAAGCTGGTCAGCGATGAGAACATGTAAGCATGATAAGTTGTAGAAGACATGACGTGGTTTGTGTCGTTAAGGTTTTCCTGGGACAGTATGTCTTTAAAGCAAGAGTCGATGTACTGAAGACATAAAATGTCTAACCTGACCTCAGGACAGGCTCTGAAATACCAGTGCTGTTCTCGGGTGAGTTTTTGTCCAGGTTTTAATAGGCTCACTTGCCAAAATTTGCAGGGGTTTTGTTCCTTTATCACATTTTCTTGTATATTTGACTCGAATGTAAAGCATATGTTTTTCTTTAGTCTTCCCGTAGTCTGTTTATATTTATTGAACCGTATAACCGTACCCGTATGCAACAGAAAACCAGTGGTCCTCGTCTTCCTCATTTTTAAGAGATTAATCACTGAACATTTTCCATTTCGTTCTCATCACTCTACAAATTATTGTTCTCTGAAACTGGCCAAAATTAAAACAACGTGACCAATTCTGTTTTACGCTTAAATCCCTCTCTCTCAAAAACATTCAGGAGTTCCATTGTCCCATTCAAACTCAAGTGGTGCCTTACCCAGAAAAGTTAAGCATCATAAACTGAGATCTGAGATCAGATGATCGAGAAGCCACATCCTGTTTGAAAAAAGGCCACAGTTACACTTATCAACCATGTTTTTTTGTTAGTGCTGTTTAGTTGGGGAAACCTTTTTGATGTTCATCCAGGAAACCGATAGGAATTGTTACAAAGTAAGTCTTTATCCTGTTGAAAACAACAAAAGACCTAGTTTTTGTATCAAGTCATCAGTCCCTATGTCGCCCCTCTGCTGTATACTTGTCATGAACGTTTGGCCCTCCCTGACAGTTTCCTCTTATTTAAAGGGGCACTGATCATGGGTCGGAAGCTCCCTTTGTACATTGCTCTGTCTCTGATCTATGTACCATTTTTAAGAATGTTTTACAGTATTAACAAGACATGCTTTTTTTTTAAATTGTGGAAATAAAGGCTCGTCTTACACTGTAAAGCTGACTGCTTTTGCTTGTAAAGATTAGATTTCCTTATCCAATTGTTCTATGAAACTTGGATTGAAATAAATGATTTGTTTACCACTGTACTTAAATATGACCCCGTTTACAGAATGAGCCTCAAAGTTGTATACGTTACTTCCAACTAAAGAAAACTTCCAGCGGTGCTTTGGTTTAAATTAAAATACTGAACCGCAATATTTAATATATGTCAGACACCTTCGTTTGTTAAGAAATTAATAATTAATGACCACACTAGTGCTCGGTTTATTGTGGTGTGGGTGAAACAGGCGTAATCACGTGGTCCTGGTTAAACCAATGAGACGTCAGCAGCGTCGCCAGATTATGGTACGACAGGAGTAGAGTGAGGTGGCAAGGGGGACTGACAGAGCGGACTCCTGTATAAGACAATTTGATTGTTAAGGTGTGTTATTTGCGGCCAGGACACGAAGCAGTTGTTTGAAGAAGGTGTTACGTTCTTTGACAAGGTAACAATTATCGTTCAGTTACTTTGAAAACGTTGGCTTTTCTTAATATGTATCTAGCGACTTTAGGCTACAGTAGTTAGCTTGTCAGCTTACAAGGACTTGAGGTTGGATGCTATGAGGTTTGAATGGGACAACTGCAGTCACTGTCATCTTAATAGTGATTTAACAGGCATAACTGTCATTTATTTGGACTCAGCTGTCAGATTTGAAAACTGCTAATCTGGAATTGATTTAGGGACTCATGTTGGTCACAACCGCAGGCTAACTTCAATCTACAACCCTACGCAATCGTTATCTTCCTTGCTAAGTTTAGTCTTTCATCTGAAGTAGTGTTAACCCCCCTTACTCATCTCCCAGGTGCTGTTTTCTCACTTACGAACCAGTTAATTTGCCGAATGTCAGATTTTCCTGGCTAGCTTAGTGTCGGCCACTGAATCAGGGGAGTGGGTGTGGTAGTCAATACAGGAGGTTCATTCATAAGCGGGCTGGTCTGACACAGATGATGTAGCACTAGTTTGCAACGAGGAAGTGATGCTAAAGAAGCGTGAGCTCACCAGACGACAGCTATGTCTGAAGTAGTGCCCATCTCCACCCAGGTTTAACAATCCCTGCGAAGATGCTCCCTCCAAATCCAGCTTCCTCCATCTAAGAGGCCCTCATTGGATGAAATTTCATGGCTAACTACCTTCAAACAATAGAGTGGACCCGTGGATTATGTCGAAACTGAGCACAGGGTCATCTGTCTGAAAGCATGACACGATAGCCTGCTTAGCTAAATCCTAGATACACTACAAGGTCGGTTAGCCATGATTTGGACTACTGTGTTTAAGTAATGCAGCAGTGAGCTATAAAACAATGTGGTGTATTTTTAAAGTCACTTTTAAGATATTTCATATGTCAGGGGAAGCAGAAGGCCAGTAGTTATTACTGTATAATAGATGCATAAAGTGGTGTGAAGATACTCTGCCAATTTTTGCTATTCAAGTCAGGAGTGTCTTCCATCTGGTGAAAAGAGAGGTGCAAGTTTTTTGGCATTAAGCCAGAAGAAGCATGAGCTGCATGTATCTTTGTTTGTGTTTGTTCAGGTGGACTGGACTGAGCAGGTCTTGCAGCATACTGTGAGTTGAACAGGAATGGCAAGTCAGTCAGCACAGCTGGGGATCTTCATGCAAAGATTGTACTTTTTATTATGAGAAAGAGTCATTTATGTGTCCGGATACAGGGAGACGTGTTCCAAATGTTTGAATGTTTTCATTCTTGGTATACAAGGCTTTCTTATACTTTGAAAATGACACCTCATCACTGATATAGTGTAAACAAAGGCATCCAAGTTAGAGTAAACTTAAGAATGATATGGGGAACGTAGCCTACCTTGACACAGAGGAGATGCAAATGCTCAGCTACCTAAGAGGCCACATTAGCATATTTATGAGCCTGATAGCTATCAGAGACCTGGAAAGGGCAAGGGTGTTCGGAAGCTGAGCCGACGTGGGGCTGAGATAGGCCTTCTTCAATGATCACTCACTTTCACTTTTAATTTGAGGCATTAGTTAATGGGTTATTGCACAATATACATCAAAGCAGAGCAATGAAGGCAAAAGCTGGTGGAGCAGGATATGGATTTACCTCGGTATGTGTCAAACTGCCTGATCATGATGGAGCAGAACAAACAGGGGACCCCTGCTGTGCATAACCTGTCTTTCAAGATCCAACAATTCTGAAGGTGTCTGCAGTTTAAAAAACCTTTGTGTCTTTAGAGAGTGCCACACATGTTTGCAGAGGTCTCATCTCTTCATCTGCACAGAGTTTCAGCAGGGGAAAGCTAAACCTGTTTAAAGAGTGAGATAGCTTTACAGGTTAAAAATAAAGTGTCTGAAATAATGCTGAAAATGATCTGACTGATTTATTTCCGGTTATTGAGGGTTTGGGCTGTGAGCCGTCACTTCTAATAACCTTAAAAAGCAGCTGTAATTCTGTTTAATCTCTGTATTTCACAGTGGCCTTCATTGTTAGCCAAAACAAAGATATGATTCTTTTAGATGAACGAAGGTATTGATGCAGACAGCCAGGCAAACATTTTTTAAGCTTTGCCTTAAGCATATTTGTTATTCACTCCAACTTAGACGGATACATTGAAAGCAGCATGACATCCCAACTAACCAGCATGAATGTAGTTTGTCTTTTATCAGGCACATTGGTCAATGTTTCACTTCATTTAATAAATGTGTGGTTTTTACCCCAATTTGTGTATCATTTTGACACTGCATTAAAACACTCTGGTTATGCATTTTAAACATGTAGTTAAACAGATTGTTATGTTTGCTTTGTTCCTTAAGTCAGATTTAGTTGAAAATATTAAACTAAGTTCAGTTTTTCTTTTTATTCTGCGATGCTCTGCAGTTTGGTTTTACATTACTTCTGCATAATTGAATTTGTTCCACACTCTCAAATTTTGCTGGGTGTAGCAGCTACATCAACTCACATCTTTTCTTAAGGGCTTTTCTTTGAAAGGAGGGATCAATTTGCTGGAACCTGCTGTTTCTCTCATGTGATCTGCTACTGAGCCTACAGTCACACTGTAGTGGCTTCTCAGGATTAACCATCAGCCTTTTCTTCCCCAAAGGTCCTGTGCTGTACGTTGCTGTCATGTCGGCCAAAGCCATATCGGAGCAGACGGGGAAGGATTTCCTCTACAAGTACATCTGCACCTCAGCGGCTGTGGAGAACCGCTTCCGCTATGCCAGTGTAACGGCGGAGACTGACTGGGACCGCCTCACACAGGAGCACCCATGGCTGCTGACAGAAGTAAGCCCGCTGTTTGTTTTTTGTCCATCCCCAGCTGGTAGAATCTGAAGTTTTCCGGACATAATGTTATTGCAGTCACAGAAGCATGTGACCGTGTGTTGGTGGATTTTGTCACCTCCTCCTTATGAGGTGTTTAAAAAAAAAAAAAAAAGATGTATCGTGGTTTTTATGTTTCTTTCTCCTTGTCCAGCGGCTGGTGGTGAAGCCAGATCAACTAATCAAGCGGCGTGGAAAGCTCGGGTTGGTGGGCATCAACTTAGACCTGCCAGGAGTCAAGGACTGGATCAAAGCCCGCATTATGAAAGAGACCACCGTGAGTGGCGGCCCCTTCTCTGCTCCAGCACTGAGACGTAGAATGAGAAACAACTGCTGTATACGACGAACCTGCTGCGAAAATTTGAATGACACTGAGGATGAATTTTCCTTTTTATTTTGACCTTTTTGTAGTTTGACCCAGCCAGCCTCTCCTAAACTTTATGTTATGATCAGCTCTCTGAGATTATAAACGAATCTTGTATTTGCAATCATCCTCAAAGTAGTTTTTTCCGCATATATTTTTTTTGTTTGTTGGACCATGTCCAGTACTTGTCAGTATGAAACTTTTTTTAAAAATCTGGCTTCAAATATAACAAGGATTTTAGTCAAACAGTAAATCACAGGTCACATGTTGCTTTTCGCGCAGCATATGAATAGAATTTGAGTTCCTTTAGGCCTAGTATATGTAAGTGTTCTATGTGGGAGCGCGCCGGGCAGTGCCAGAGGCCTCAGGCTCATGTTTAGATTCCCCAGGTCAGAGGGTGGTCTATTCCTGTCCTCCGTAAACGTAGACACGCCGAACTGCACTGCAACAAGGCCCTCGCCACACTTTCAGCTAACACAACATACTTTCTCATGTTTTTGCTGTGTGGAGAGATATAAAAGTGACTTTTTGGGAGAATATGTAGGGATACATCCAGTAGTTCTGTTTGTCACCATAATGTGTGTCTTGACTAGGTGGGGAAGGCAAAAGGCGTGCTGAAGAACTTCCTCATTGAGCCATTTGTTCCACACACACAGGTAATGGATGCTTTTTTATTTCAAAACCAAAGTTGTATTTGTTTGAGCTGCCTCTAATCGGGGATAAGTATTTAACAGACACACCCTGTTAAAAGAAAATAAACTAACACTGTTACGTAGGTGAGTGGGATTTATTTGATGCCATGGAATTTTCTCTAAAGAACAAACTGCTGGGTTGGTGTTTGTGGATGCAAAAGAAAGCCTACGGTTATGGATTTGAATGTTTTAGATCTTTAAAAAAAAAACAACTCTTCCCTCCTTACGCCTCACGCCCTATGCAAATAAATCTGTAAATGTGTTTTTTTGTGTTGATGTTTTCCCCAACTCTTGTCTACTCATTTGCAGGCGGAAGAGTTCTATGTGTGCATTTACGCCACGCGTGAGGGCGACCAGGTGCTTTTCCACCACGAGGGCGGAGTGGAAGTTGGTGATGTGGACTCCAAGGCTCAAAGGCTGCTGGTTGCTGTGGATGAAAGTCTCAATGAAGACCAAATCACAAAGCAGCTCCTCCAGCATGTTCCTGATGAAAATAAGGAGTATGGAAAGATCATTTTTCTGTAGCTGAATTGAGTTATTGATTAAAACAAAAAAGTGTCAGGGTTTGGACATGAGGTTAAGGTTAGTTCATAGTCAAAGCTCACCTCGTTTTTACTCAAAATGACTGGACTGAGATTGTAGTTTGTCTTCAGTCTTGTTTGCAGGCACTCTAATGTGTGAGGCCCATAAGGTGTGCTGTCCCATTTCAGATTTAGTAGCTTTTGCAGCAAAAACAAATAGGGGAAAAAAGATTAACAAACTTTATTTGTTTTTGTTTTTTATTTTACTAACCTTGGAGGCTCTCGGCCTTCAGAAGATTGTTTTCTTCTGTTTTGACCTTCATTGATGGGTTTGATTTATTTTCCTTCTTTTTCTAATTATCATTCCTGTTTTTCAACAGTCTGCCCTTTGCTTTTGAATAAGCAGAAAACTCTTTATTTGGTTAAGCTTTAAAAGTTTTTTTTGTTTTTGTTTAAGGAACAAAATTTAATTGTTTGACTGTAAGGTTTTTTATATTTATACTTTACACGTACTGTGTTTTATATGTTTTACTCATTCATATTTCACTTCTATTAAGGCACTCATTATTCACTCCTTTGTTGATTTTTGTGTGTGCTTTTTTTTCCTTAGAGTTCTGGCCAGTTTTATAGTTGGTCTCTTCAAATTATATGAGGACCTCTACTTCACCTATCTCGAGATCAACCCTTTAGGTAAACATCTCCTCTGTTCAGCTCATTAGGATTCACAGAAGCAACTCAATAATTAACCCCCTCTAGTTTAATTATTGACTTTTGAGAACAAGCTTCTGTTTTTTTTCATGTGTTTATTTTCCTAATAAAAGAAAGAGTTTAGCCTTGGAAAATATTATTATTATTATAGTTGGGAAACACTTATAATAAAGCCTTAGAAGTAAATAATCTGGGTTTTTATTACCTTAACCAGTCGTGACCCAGGATGGGGTGTACGTCCTCGACATGGCAGCCAAGATTGATGCCACAGCTGACTTCATCTGCAAAGCTAAATGGGGAGATGTGGAGTTTCCTCCACCCTTTGGCAGAGAAGCTTATCCAGAGGTGAGACCTGTGCAGTTTTTTGTGTGAATTAGCAGATCTTTTGTATGAGGTTCTAATGGAGTAATGTGCTTATCTTTCATTACACATGTGTGGGTTGTATCAAAGAGTTAATGTGTAACGTCATCAGGGTTTTCAATAGACTCCTTTCTTTGCCGCGTACATTACCAGAATTAATCTGACGTCACTTTTAGGAGGCCTACATAGCAGATCTGGATGCAAAGAGCGGCGCCAGTCTGAAGCTGACGCTGTTGAACCCCAGGGGCAGGATCTGGACCATGGTGGCTGGAGGCGGTGCTTCAGTGGTCTACAGGTGATTCCTTTAGTCATTATGGTTTACAGCAGATATGAGTTTATGAAAGCAGATCAAAGGTATGCTTCCCATGTTTTATACCGCTCCTTTCTGTCCTGGACTGTCAGGCATATCAGCCACTCCTTGCAGTCACTGATACAAACTGTCTCTGAATTCAATTAAAATCAAAACTGAAAGAATTAAATCATCACACAGTATTTCACTGCTAATTTCTCCCTCAGCGACACCATCTGTGATCTGGGTGGGGTGGATGAGTTGGCCAACTACGGTGAGTACTCCGGGGCACCCAGTGAACAGCAGACCTACGACTACGCAAAAACCATCCTCTCCCTCATGACCCGGGAGAAGCATCCTGAAGGTGAGCACAGAGCCATCCGTGCTATTCAGAACTCGGGAGGGGCTTAGGTTTCTTATGGGTTCGTGAAATGAATTGTCAGTGTGTGACCAGGCCATGATTCACTTCCTTTGAAGTTTCCAGTAAAGCATTTCAAGGCTGTCGCCAGAAGGCGTTTCTGTGTTTCAGTAGCAAACAAATGCTCAGCTTTGTTTTTTTCTCTCCAGGGAAAGTGCTGATCATCGGAGGAAGTATTGCGAACTTCACCAATGTAGCAGCTACATTTAAGGTGAAACATGCTGAATGGGCTGAAATGAGAGAGTTTCCTACTTTTGTTAAGTCCAGTATTTCTAAACTATAAAAGCAACATCATTAGAATAGATCTGGGTGTTATGTTAAGATGATAAGAATTCTAAGAGTCTACACCAACATATTGAATTGCCCTGAAAAAAACTGTTGTCTTTTGTTACTGGCTGATACCCTTTTCTGCGCATCACAAGGCTGAGCTGACTGACTGCCTTTCTTCTCAGGGTATTGTCAGGGCCATTAGAGATTACCAAGGCCCTCTAAAGGAGCATGAGGTCTCCATATTTGTGCGACGTGGTGGTCCCAATTATCAAGAAGGCCTGAGGGTGATGGGGGAAGTAGGTGAGTGAGGTCCTCGCTCATTATACAAACACAGTAGGATTAATTTGCCATTTCTAGGCTACAATTACAGAAAAATGTGTTGATTTGTCTTAAGTTTTTGTTGTTGTCAAAGGGGATTGTGTCTCTTTAAATTCTTTTTGCATGCATGTTCTAACATATTTACTTTGTTTTCTTTTGCTCATTAAAGGAAAGACCACAGGTATTCCTATTCATGTGTTTGGAACTGAGACCCATATGACAGCCATAGTTGGGATGGCTCTGGGCCACCGGCCGATCCCTAACCTGCCTCCTATGGACGCTCACACCGCCAACTTCCTCCTCAACGCCAGCAGCAACGCAGCGGTACTTTTATTGTGTTTGCGTTCCAAATTGTGGGCAGTAAATACAGGATAGCCCATGGGTCATTTCTAAATTCTTTTAAAGAAATCATGGTTGTATAGTAGAGACTTTCTTTGTCTTGTACTAAGTTGCATAATAAAAAGTATACTCATGTTGAAATCTGCTGTACACAAGTCAATGAATTGTGGTTATGTGTTAAGTGTGTTTGCTTATTGATGGGTATTTTCAGTCATGCTTGTTTATTTCTCGTATAATCTGTGAAATGGCTCTGGTGGAAATTTAGGATTTTTATTAGATTAATTTATTGCCCCTCTCTGTTCTGTGCCAGACTCCAGCTACTACAAGAACAGCTTCTTTCTCTGAGGTCAAGACCAATAACGATGTCTCTCCTGCGAAAAAGTCTCGAGCAGGCCTCCCCGCAGGTAATAAGCCAGAGGCGCTCCTTACTGAGCTCCTTTTTTATTAGCTGGTCTTCCATATTTACTCACACTCTGCTGCTTTTTCATTTCTCTTATCCTGGCTTCTTGTACTTTCCCTCTCTTAAATGCATTCACCTTAATCCTCCCCATCTTTTGGGTTCTGTGGCACAAACCGCCCGCTCACCTGCATCTCTTTCATGCTTGTTTCTCTAAGACTCTCTCCATTCTATACTGTGGCCTCTGAAGAATGTGGTCACAGGCGATTGGATAGGTAAGTGAGAGGTGTGCCATGCTCGCGTTGCACGTGGCTCCTTAAGTACTCTTAACTGGTTTGCCTTTATTCCTGTTTAACCCCACCCTTCCTTCCTTGGAAAAAATGAGTGTGTTTGGGTGTCACACCTAAATGTTTGCAATGCCTTTGTTGATTGACTTGTTCTAAGGTTACATTCTTTTGTCCTAACATTTAGACCAAGGACCAGGGTTTTTTATTATTTTTTTATTAATTGTTTTGGATGATTTTTCCATTAAAAAACTAAAAGGTTTTGATGTCTACATTCTCTGAGTAGTGCGTTGCTGTGTTGGAGTAGTTTTGAGTGTAGTGCTGGCTGAGAGTTCAGGTGAGGCTCTGTGATGAGAGATTTGGTCATGAAATGATTAAACCTTTTTAGATTGCTCTCCACAGCGGCATAGTAAAGGCATGCTCTGTAGCAGCTGAGCTTGGCATGCTCTTTCCTCTACTGTGCCATACACGGTGTGTTTTTAGAAATGGCACAATTGATTCCAGTTTGTTCAGTGAAAGGAGTGACTATGCAGTGCAGTAGGACTCATTCTTTCCCTCTTTTTTTGTGCTCATTTTTATCATTTCTGTTCCACCCTGTGATGTCACAGAAGCTCAAGCTTCTTCAGGCAGCAGCGGAGGTATGGAAGGGTGTGAAAAATCTGTGCTCTGTCAACTTCCATTGCCCCCCCTCCTCCCCTCCCAAATTTTGTTTATCCACAGTCTGTCCTTCTTTTTCCATCCTAACAATGCCGCTCTCACCTTAATGGAAGCCTGTCTGAAATCACTGAATGATCTCATTTTTAGGTATTTAGAGAGTATTTACAGATTAAAGTGAAAGCTACTGATACACGTCGATTATTTTTGCACTGTTTGTACTTTCTGTGACCGAGGAGTGGTAGAGCTGTGTATTGAGTTAGACTTGAACATTTTCTTGTTGCACTGGGTTTGGGTTCATGTGTTGTGTGGTGCTGAAATGGACTTATGGCATAATATCCTTTGCTATACATGTTTCATTTCATATGATCAGCTCAGTCACCAGTGAGGGAAATGGATCAAACGGACAAATAGTGCAGAGGTTTGGGTTGTAACCACTACAGTTGCAGGAGGTGTACAAAGTTGACATTAAGCTGCAGAAGATAAAAAACAAGTGAACAAAATGTGCGAAGGCCAAAGATAAAATAACCACAAAACAATTATTAAGAATAATACAAATAAAACAAAATAAACAAAACCATCCCGTGTTCAATATTAGAAGCATGTGGTTAGTCCAGACTGCTTTAGGCCGCTCAGGCTTCTGTCCGAAGGGGCTGTGACTTGCTGTCTTCAGCAAGTGAAACATGAGCTCTGAGAATCGTCCAGTTCCCAAGCAAAGTCAGCGTTTACCCGCCAAGGGCACAACATCTTCGTTCTCAGAGGTAATACAGCTCCACTAAAGTTTTGTAGAATGAGGATAAAAGCACGCGGAATAGACTAATTCTAACTGTGGCATTTTTTTGTCTCCTGTTTATATTTGTCATTTTTATTACTGTGACATCCTAAATGTATTTTGTAGTAGTGAGTACTAGCAGGTGGATTAAATAGAAGGTGAACCAAGAGACTCGATTGGCTTTGCAAATGTTTGATAAACTGTGTTTCCCAAATTCTTTGTATACCTGTCAGCTCAAAAGATATCTGGCTAAATTCCCTAACCTGCCCATTTACATGTGGTTTGTCAGACTGCTATAATTGTGAGTTGTGTAAAAATGTGCATTTAGTGATGGCTTGTTTTGGTTGATGTTATTTTCTGCTCCTCCTCCATCTCAGCCTACAGACTGACCTCCTCTGTTTTCTGCATATTGTGCTGTGTGTGATGTTCTCCTGACACCTCCCCCTAAACTCTTATTTCAACTGGTTTTTATTTAATCTTTCAGTTTTGACTTCAATTTTCCTTTTTTTCTTTTTTTTCTTTTTTTTTGTTCTCTCAGCCAAAGCAACCACACTTTTCAGCAAACACACCAAGGCCATCGTCTGGGGCATGCAGACGCGTGCTGTGCAGGGCATGCTGGATTTTGACTACGTTTGCTCCCGTGATGAACCCTCTGTGGCTGCCATGGTGTACCCCTTCACGTAGGTTAACCAACAACTTGTTATTGAACAGTTGGACCTTTTGGTGATTTAACACCCTTATGAAAAGGTTTTAGGTTATGGGATTGTTGTAGTCGTAGGCTACTGAATTATTCTCATATTTTATTTCTGTTGCATTCCTGCATTGCTCAGTGGAGATCACAAACAGAAGTTCTACTGGGGCCACAAAGAGATCCTGCTGCCAGTTTATAAGAACATGGCTGACGCCATGAAGAAACACACTGAAGTGGACGTCATGATCAGTTTTGCGTCGCTACGCTCAGCCTTTGACAGCACATTGGAGGCTATGCAGTATCCGCAGGTGTGAAAAGAAACTGTGCACAGACAGATGAGCTTCAGGCAAATCTGCCCAGATCTGAGATTTGATTATTTTTTTCAGATTCACACCATCGCCATCATAGCTGAGGGCATTCCTGAAGCTCAGACCAGGAAGCTGATTAAGATTGCTGATGAGAAGGGTGTCACAATCATTGGCCCTGCCACGGTACGTGGCTTCACGAGCACCACAAAGCTCTGCTCCGTGTTGCACACATATCGGTCACTGTTTATTAAAATGCACTGCAGGATGTGACTCAACGTGCAATCTCACCCTTCTAACAGGTCGGCGGCATCAAGCCAGGCTGTTTTAAGATTGGAAACACCGGTGGAATGCTGGACAACATCCTGGCCTCCAAACTTTACCGTCCTGGAAGCGTGGCATATGTATCACGCTCTGGAGGCATGTCCAACGAGCTGAACAACATCATCTCACGCACAACAGATGGCGTCTATGAGGGTGTTGCCATTGGTGGAGACCGGTACAAAGCCATATTTTCAAATAGTTTATCGAATTACGCTGAAATCTGTCGGGAAACTGCATTCTGTGTGGAATTTACTACTCCACGGGTATTTTCAAGATCGGTGTTTGTATCCCCCAGATATCCAGGTTCTACTTTTATGGATCATGTCCTACGTTACCAGGACACACCAGGGATTAAGATGATAGTGATGCTTGGAGAGGTGGGAGTCGCTTCAGATATTGATCCATTTTTAATATTTGTGTGAAAATCGTCACTTATTTTTATATCTTTCTGTGACTCCTAGATTGGAGGCACAGATGAGTACAGTATCTGCCAAGGGATCAGAGAAGGCAGGATCACCAAACCGGTGGTGTGCTGGTGTATTGGTACCTGCGCCACCATGTTCACTTCAGAGGTTCGTTAGCTGTGGTGAGAAAATGAACCCCGTGGATTCTGCTGCTGGTTCTCCTTACCTGGCTTTGATGTTCGATGTCTGGTGCCGTCTTCAGGTTCAGTTTGGCCATGCTGGAGCCTGCGCCAACCAGGCTTCAGAGACGGCCGTGGTTAAGAACCAGGCCCTCAGAGACGCTGGAGCTTTTGTACCAAAGAGCTTTGATGAGCTTGGAGATGTCATCAGGTGGGGATGAATCACAGGACAGACTTTGTATTTAAATTGTTTTATGACTTTTTACTGATCATTGCATAAATATGATATAACAGGACTGTGTATGATGAGCTGGTAGCCAATGGTACCATCATTCCTGCCCAAGAGGTGCCCCCACCGACTGTACCAATGGATTATTCCTGGGCAAGAGTAAGAACCTAATATTTTGTATTACTTTAAGAAAGCAACTAGCCAACGAGAAGTATCCACATCTTAATAAACAACCTTGCGTGTTTGTTTTTCTCCCTGTTGAAAATGTTACCAGGAGTTGGGCCTGATTCGTAAACCAGCCTCCTTCATGACCAGCATCTGTGATGAACGAGGCCAGGAGCTAATCTACGCAGGCATGCCCATCACCGAGGTCTTCAAAGAGGAAATGGGTTTAGGAGGAGTGCTGGGCTTACTCTGGTTCCAGCGCAGGTTAGTGAGACCACTGTCATCCCCGTTTGCAGGATGAGGATGGGAAGATCAAATTGTGGCGGCTCCACTTTGTTTCACAGGTTCTGCTTCCCCTCTGTTTAGGCTGCCACGCTACGCCTGCCATTTCATTGAAATGTGCCTGATGGTGACCGCTGACCACGGGCCTGCCGTTTCTGGGGCTCACAACACAATCGTCTGTGCTCGTGCTGGCAAAGACCTCATCTCAAGCCTCACCTCCGGCCTGCTGACTATCGTAAGTTCTGCTCACATACAGGGACACAATTTCACACACTTTATACATAATAAAATTATTTTCATCCAAACAGTGTCACTCTAAACCTGCAACCTATCAAAATTATTTTAAATCTTCTTGCTTGAGCATCTTATGAACTTTTTATTTTATTTTCGATTGCTACAATTGTCCTGAGCAAATCTGTGCTAAGTTTGCCTTTCTATATAAACTCCAGGGGGACCGTTTTGGAGGTGCTCTTGATGCAGCAGCAAAGCAGTTCAGCAAAGCTTTTGACAGTGGCATGCTGCCCATGGAGTTTGTCAACAAGATGAAGAAGGATGGCAAGCTTATCATGGGAATTGGACACAGGGTCAAATCAGTAAGCAGCACTCAAATTTTCACAGGACCTTTATTGAACGCGATTGTGAAATGATCCTCCACCTCTGGAGATTTCATATTCTGAATATTTTGCACTTTATTTAAGTAACTGCTTGAGTTTAGTCAAAGCGAGGTTGTGTAAAATATGGTTGCCTTGCTTTCAGATCAATAATCCAGACATGCGGGTGCAGATTCTGAAGGACTTTGTCAAACAGCATTTCCCCTCCACCCAGCTGCTGGACTACGCCCTAGATGTGGAGAAGATTACTACCTCTAAGGTATCTCAGCCAGAGTGAAGTAGAGCATGTAAAGATGAGGCTGTCTAAATCAAATGAATTGGTTCAATGCATTTAAGGTTGTTGAATTGAGGACTAACTGCTACATATTTCTGATTACTAAGCCTTTTTTTAACTCTTTGATTTAATATATATCTTACCGTTTCAGAAACCTAACCTGATCCTTAATGTCGACGGTTTTATTGGTGTTTCCTTTGTGGACCTGCTTAGGACATGTGGAGGCTTCACACGGTAAGAAAAATCACCATACTGGAGAAAATATTGGCTAATTTCTGAGGGGCTAGTACTCTGTTTTTCCTTCTGTGATTTTTAGTATTTCTGATATGAAAAACATGTAATTGTGAGATGGAATGACATAGAAAGTCTCTTGAATCCTTTCTAACATACAAAGCTTTTGACTCTATCAAGAGATTTGATTAATGATTATTTTTAAATACTTAGTGATTTGTGATAGATCTTTCCTCGTAGTATTAATCAGCTTTATTTAAGACTTACGTCTTGGAAAAGTATAGCTCCTTGGATGTGTAGTCTGGATTGTTGCACTTTGCTGGGAGCACACTGTGCAGTATTGTTTTTCACATGAATGTTTAACTGTTTCCAGAGATGAGGCTGATGAGTTTGTGGAGATCGGTGCACTGAATGGGATCTTTGTTCTTGGCCGTAGTATGGGCTTTATTGGTGAGTCCCCCTCAAACTCCGAATAACCAAGTATCATAACAATGTTTGTAACTGATCCCTGTGCTCTTAGGGCATTACCTGGATCAGAAGAGGTTAAAACAGGGTCTTTACCGCCACCCATGGGACGACATCTCCTATGTGCTTCCTGAACACATGTCCATGTAAACCACAAGTTGCAGAATGACTGTCCACTCTTGATGAGCGTGGAAAAGGAGAATTTTCTTAACTAACATACTTGTGCAGTTCAGTTGCAACAGCCGGAGAATCCACTGGGCGAGATTATCCTGGAAAGTAGAAGCGCATGCTGATTGAGGGAAATGGGTAAACATTTTCAGTCAAATTTTATGGAGGAAAAGGGGAAGTATATTTTTAGATTTAGTTTTTGACAAATTATTTAAAAAACAAATAGAAATGTAAGTTATTCAGATTTGGAAAAAAAGTAGCCAAACCAATGCAAATTACAGCAAGTGCAGCAAGCAAGTTGGTAAGAAAAAACATAGATTCACAAACATTTTTCTTACCTGACGGCTGCATAAGTGTGCATAGTTACTCTGCATGAACAGCTGCTATTGTGAAGTCCATTCAAGCTCAGCAATACAGTAAAAATTCTTTTTGTACTACTTACTTAAAATTATTAACCACGGTTAACAATAATCAACATTTGTCCATTTAAGGCCCAAAAAATAGTGCTTAAGTGAAGTTTTCTGGCTTTAAAAATTCTGCAGGTTAGTTAAAACACCAGATTTTACTCCCACTCAGAAGAATCTGACACCACAGTGTAAAACCAAAGGTACATTTGGATAGTTTGTTTTTTTTGTTTTGTTTTTGTAGTTGCTGTTAGAACAGCACAATAGAGTCCTGGAATTCATGTATGTTATGAAAGGGAGGCATTATTATGGGATTAAAAAATAATAATAATAGAAAGACATCAGTGTTACCCTACCTTTGCCTTTCCTGATACAACCACGCTTATACACAAACAGTATATCAGCTACTGTGAATTAGATGCCGTTTTGAGGTGTCCAAATCTCTTTCTTGCCAAGTTGGGTCTTAATTATGTTACGCTTGTTGCTGTTCTGAGTAACTGTGTGACAAAATTGGAAGGTACAGAAGCATCCAAAGAGGAGGGTGAACAAAATGCTTCATGAATGAGTCCTGTGAGTCTTGAGAGCATCTTTTGGCAAAGGACCATGAAAGCAATTTGTTTTTCCAGGGGAAATCATTGCACATGATACAGACAAAGCCGTTCAACTCGCAACACTTTGTTACTGCTCACTGTAATTCCTGCTGTTTGGTCTTTGTGTTTGCCTTTTTTTTATTTAACTGTGAAAAATGCTTTTTTTTTGTAATATCTGTCATTGTGGTACGATAATTAAAACAAAACTTATTTCACTATTCATTTGGTATGGATTAATTTGACTGATTTCTAAAGTATCTTAAACATGCCCAAACGTAAATGATTTTTGAATTACCGTTCTGCACCCAAATTCTTCTTTTTTGTACCAAATTTTAGCACGATGGAATGGTATGCACCTTGTAATTATCAAATATTATCATCACATTTTTAACATTTTACAAGACATGATCATTTTAGAACGATGGTGCAGACATGGTTTAGTAGACAAACTAACGTCGCCTTTTCCAATTAACGCCCTGAAACCGCACATCCCCGACCGTTGACTCGCCACAGAAGCACGCATGCGCGTAACCGGTGAATCCAGTGGAAAAAGGTAAACTCAGCCCAAAGAAAGACGCCTTGACGCGAAGTCAAAATTGGCCAAGCCTTAAGGTTCCTCATATTTTCCACAGTGTTTTAGGTCTTTGCGATTTGCGGATATATTATATTGAAACTAAGAGACTCTCATTGACCTTTCAGCAAAAAAAACGGATATTTGGAATTTTCTTGAAGACGGAAGTGAAGGCTCCTCTTTTCCAGTTTAGCCTGCGAGCTCTGCGCTTGCATGTATGTCTTTGAATGTTTGCTGACTTGCGCGTTGAACACTTTTGAGTTTTTCCCGAAGGTAGTTCAGAGTCTTTATTTGCCTCTGAGTTTCCCCCCTTGCGTCGGAATGGCAGCGGCAGCAGAGGAGCCGGAGGACACTCGCCGGAAGAGCGGCGCTCAAGGAGCGCTAACAGGTGCAGGTGACTGTGAACCCGAGGAGGCCGAGGAGTTCACCTGCTCGGCCTACTGCTCGGAGCTCTCCCGGCGCCAGAACGAGCAGAGGAAGGCGGGCTTGTTCTGCGACGTGACCCTGGTTTTCAGCCGGGCGGGGGTGCCCGGAGAGCAGCCCCAAACCGTATCTGCCCACCGCTCCGTTCTATCCGCAGCATCGCAGTACTTCGCGCTGCTGCTGGGCGGACAGTTCGCAGAGTCCGTGAGCCGGCGCGTGGAGCTCAAAGAGTGGAGCTCCCCGGCCGGGCCCGAGCCGGACACCGTGGAGCTGGTCGTCCAGTTCATGTACACCGGAGAGGTCCGAGTGAGCTCCGACAACGTGCACGAGGTGTTGGAGCTGGCTGACAGGTAATGTTTCCCAACCAACTCATTTATCCCGCGTTGCTTGAATTTCTTTTCTGATGCTGTTGTTAAAAACAGCATCAACATACTCAGAAAAGTTCATCTGTTGATTCAGGTCAATGGTTGAAGCTAAAGGTGAAGTTTTCAGTGTCTTCAGCAATAGTTAACATGGACAACAAATAAATACACACCATTTAATTATCCTTTAGACCTACAGTAAGCTTATAAATGGATAATTACTGGGGTTTCAGATTAAATTTTCTTACAAGTGAATATTAACTGAAAATTAATGCTAATGTATTTAAATGTCTATTTGTGTTCATGCTTGAGAATAATAGAAGGATCTTAGGAAAAAAAACAAGACATTTTTATGTACTTGAAGCTAAGTGTTTAAAAGCTTGGTGTGTGACATTGGAAAAAAATGTTTTAGTAAAAAGAATCTGTGAACATGGCTGATGTCTGGTCAGATCACTGAAGCTGACCAATCACAGAAGGAGGATGCTGGAGAGGGGTGGGGCAGCCTTCTGGTTTTTGTCTGGACATCTGTTCAGTGAAAAGGCAAACTGCCCTTGTTTAGCAAACAGACAGTTTTTGTGGTTTCTATAGTTTATTGTGTGGATATTATCACTACCTGGTATTTCCAGCTTGAATGATTGCAACTTAAGGCAGCTCGCTTTGGTCCAACTCTGAAATGACAGCATCCATTATGTGGAATGGAGAATGTCTCAGTCAAAGATCACCTGCACAGAATTTCAGATTTTTTTTAAATAAAAAGAGTATCAACTCCCCTTGACTATTAACAGAAAAATATGTCATTCATATCACACTTTTGTTTTGGAAATAGAAAAGTGGAAGTCAAGAAAGTTCAAATCTATTCACAAACCAATTCAATGATAAAATCAACTAGTTAAGACCTCTATTTCTGGAATAACTGGTGAATATTATTACTTTTCTAATATGCCATCTTTGAATTTTAACAGCTTTCTAATTTTGATTTTCCAGATTCCTGCTGGTGCAGCTGAAGAGCTTCTGCGCAGAGTTCCTGGTAAGGAACTTGAGCCTTTCCAACTGTGTTGCCGTGCACAGCCTGGCACACATGTATTCCCTAGACCAGCTGGCTGAGGAAGCTGCGGGGACAATCAGGAGAAACTTCCACAGAGTTATCTGCGGTGAAGAATTCTACACGCTGCCATTTCATCTAGTGCAGGGCTGGCTGCTGGACTCCAAGATCACCGTGGACTCTGAGCAGGAGTTGTTTGAGGCTATGGTGAAATGGGTCCACCAAAACCAAAAGGACAGAGAGAAGTATTTTGAGGAACTGTTTAAGCTCCTGAGGCTGGCACAGATTGCTCCCACGTACCTGACGCGTGTGATTAGAAGGGAACCTCTAGTGGCCAACAGTGCAATGTGTCAGCAGCTGGTGATCGAAGCTCTGGAGTTCCACGCCATTCGGTCCGAGAGCGTCAAGTCAGCTGACTCTGAGCTGAATGCAGCCATTCAGCCTCGACTGGGCCAGAACATGGATGTGATCATGGTTATTGGGGGGGTTTCTGAAGGCGGAGAATATCTCAGTGAGTGTGTGGGCTACTTTGTTGCCGAGGACCGTTGGATCAACCTACCGCACATTCACAACCACCTTGATGGACATGCCATCGCCGTCACCGAGGGCCACGTTTACGTGGCAGGCTCCATGGAGCCCGGCTTTGCCAAGATGGTTGAACGCTACAGCCCGAGCCTCAACAGCTGGGAGCAGGCCAGTGGCCTGACCACCCGCAAACACTCCTTTGGCCTCATATGTGTCAGAGATGTACTCTATAGCATCGGTGGCCATGGCAACTTCAGTCCTGGCTTTAAGGACGTCACCATCTACGAACCGGAGCGGGACGAGTGGGTCAGCCTGGAGCCAGCACCAAAGATCCTCCGGGATGTAAAAACAGTGAGTGTGGAAGATCGGCATGTGTATGTGATGGCCAGGACTCCCGTCGACGTGGACCACGACGACGGACTGAGCACTTTGACCACTTGCTATGATACAGAGAGCCGCAAGTGGCAGGAGGTGAACTCTTTGCCACTGATCGACAACTACTGTAGTTTTCAAATGGCTGTTGCATCCACAAACTTCTACAACACCGCCTCTTGCTGCCCCAGAAGCTACCAAATAACAGCGGAGGCTGCTCAGGAGAAAATAAGCAGTGCTGTCTCGGACGACATCCTGGACAGCCTCCCGTCAGAGGTCCTCAGCATGGAGGGTACGGCCATCTGCTACCTGGGTGAGGACATCTTCATTATCGGCGGGTGGAGGAACAGCAGCACCCTGGACAAGCAGTACCGCAAGGAGGCGTACCGCTACTGTGCTGAGAGGAAGCACTGGACGCTGCTGCCGCCCATGCCCCAGCCGCGCTGCCGGGCAGCGGCCTGCCACGTCCGCATCCCGTACCAGTATCTGAACGGCCACCAGCGATACCCCATGCCCCCCAACCTGGCCCGCCAACGGGACCGCATGCAGCAGATGCAGCAGCTGCACCGGCGCACGCTGACTCTGCGCAGACAGCTGCAGTCTCAGATTGAATGCTGAAACCAGACTCTCACCCCATCTGCTGATGATCGCCCTGTTATTGTTCCAACACTGCTGCTTTAGTTTTGACTTATGAGAGGGGAAATGCCTGTATGGGTTTACCCTGAACTGGCTTAGAGTGAAGGATACAATTAAGGAACCAAAAGAAATAAGGGGTAAAGCCATTAAACAATCACTTACCCAAGTCTTATCTTTAGTTAGCAAATATCTGTGCCTGCTGTAACACTCTTGTCATTTGTATTTTCGTTTTTGCCAGTATAACAGTTTCCAACACATCCCAGTGAAGTTGTTTTAGTATTGAGATGTGAGTTTTGCTATTAATATACAGACTGTTTTTCTACTGTTGTCAGATTTATGTATATAAGTGTTGATGTCGTGGACCATAGTGTTATCGTAAAAAAAAAAAAAAGGACAATCAGACATTCCATTTTCATTTTAATAGCTCAGCTGGACAAAGGTTGCTATCCCAGGTTCTTTGCTTGCTCTAAGCATGAAATACATCAATGATGTAATTTAAAAAAATTGCACAGAAAATATTCTCCTGATTTTAAAACTGTATTAACATATTGCTTTTGTGACACAGTAATTGCAGAATTCCTCTAATGTCTTTTCTGTGCAGTTTTATCTGTTGAGACAATTCTTAAAAACAAAATAAAAACCTGGGACTTACTGGCAGAGAGCAGTGAGAATGCTGATATACTGAATGACTGGACCAGAGGATAATGAACAATTAGCTGTTAAAATGAGTGAATGAGTTTTTTTTGTTGTTCTTAAGACTGAGATATACTGTGTGCCAACTCAACAGGATTGAAATGTAAAAGAGGGACAGCTAAAGCAATTCACAGAGATTAAGAGTTCTCTTGATCAAATTAATAAAAAAAACACTTTTAAATGTAACACAGTGTTTTGTCTCTTCAATTTTACTTTTTTTCCTATGATTTATGATTTTTTTACATGTTTTTATTCACTGTCAAAATATTTTTCATTGTTAAATTTTATATTTTCTCTTTGAAGTTTTTTCATTTTCTACTTTTTTCTGTTTTAACTGCATATTCTTTCACTCTCAGTTCTTATTATTATATTGTTTTTTCATTCTATTTTTCTAGTTTCCGACTTTTTTACATAATCAGATTTTTATATCCATTTAATTTAGGAAGTTTTGGATTGAGCCATTCTTATTCCTTTGGATATGTGGAACACATACGTCGGAACTTTAAGTAACGTAACGGGGGAGGATTTTCGGTGCAACACAAGGGGATGTAAACAACAGGCGTAATCTGTTATATTATTCACTCTTCATACATTTGAAGTTGTACATGTTTTGTATTTTAAACTATGCACTAATGGTTAATCGTTTGACACGTGATATTTTGGTTTGAAAATGGTAAGTTAGATTGGTCACCTTATGCTATCATTAAAGAGTTAGTCAGATCAAATAGATGTAGCGCGTTACTAATTGAACTATGGTGTCGTGGTGTGTAGAGAACAAAAAACGTTTGTGTGTGGGTGTGTATATATATATATATTTATATATGTATGTGTATGAGTGTGTGCAAAAACTGACTGCCGCAAAAACAACGTAAACCAGAGTTGTCTTGTGTGTCGACGGTCAAAATATAATGTTAAAATGTTTCGTTTTAGAATGGGGATACTTAAAGACTAAACGCTTGTATTGGCTGTGTGTTGTTTTGTTCGAAAGAACAACACGTGCAAACATCAAATACCTTAAAAGTATTAAGTCATTACTGTTTTTTCTGTCAATCTCAAGTCTTACTTTATTTTGCCCTGTTTCAAGGAATTGTCTGTTTTTCCATTCACTATTCTGAGACCCAGACATAGTTTTTTCCCAGAGGGGGATAGTCCATGCTTCTTCTAAATTTAGAAACTTAGGAACTTTCACTCCCCATGTTTTTCCCTAGCCACTTGTTTAATCGTGTGCTTTGCTGTGGACAAATATCCACAACTGAAGCCAGTCTTTCCTGTTTCAACCTGTAGATATACCACATTCCCTGGATCTCCGCACCCATGCGGACTGTTTTGGCAATATGGCAGCAGCTGACCAAAGCCGAGGTGAGGAAGCTCCTCTGATCAAGTGATAGTGGGAGTTTGCATATGGCAGCCATGGAGGGACATTTCTTTACAAGCGTTGCCGTGGAAATGTGGCCACACAGCTGTGAGGCTGACGTTTTTCCCCTTTCAGATCCCAGAATTGGCCAAGTGCTCCGTGCTGATGAAGGAACGCCGCAGGGTGGAGGACACCCTCCACACCATGCAGCAGTCTGGTGCTGGCGCCCTGCAGGTGAGGACGCCGTCGGTTCAGCCTGCATGTTGTCACGTTCATGTGAGGAGTCTGATCATATAAGCAGAGGAGGAAATCACAGATCAAACTCTCGGAATATGTTTATACATTAAAAACAAAAAAAGTTTTTGATGAGATAAGCAAGACAGAAATCATCCAAAAGTGTAGAAGTCTCCATCTGTAAAGAAGTCGGTCTGGACTTTAAACAAATTCCATAATCCTCTGAACAGGGGAGAAGATGCACCTGTTTAAGGAGAGTTATGAAAGAATAGAACAGACAATTTGTGGAATATTCATGTGAATCATAACTGAATAATTACTGAGTACGCAGTATTTTCAGATATCATTCAGTTTATTTCACAACTGCTTTCACAGGTAATCTCAGACTTTGACATGACACTTACCAGATTTGCTCATAACGGCAAGAGAGTGGCCACCACGCACAGTAAGCACAAAGACCATCATTTTCTCCACATGCCATCTTTGGATGGGTACATCTGGACCCGTCCCCTGCTGGATCTTACGTTTACAGGCTTTTCCTTTTTTTGTAGATATCCTTGATAATCGGTTGTTGATAAATGAAGACTGCACTAAAAAGGTAATTTTTTCCAGTCAGAAACAGAAAACTATTCAGATTACAGTTAACTGCTTTTGGTTCAAAGGCTTTAAAGTTTGTAAGGTAAAGTTCCACCTATGTGATGGCCTGTTGCAGATGAAGGAGCTGCTGAACACCTATTACCCCATAGAGATCGATGCGAGCCGCAGCGCTGAGGAGAAGCTGCCTCTCATGGTGGAGTGGTAAGAAATAAACTGCCCGAGGACTGATCGTCAACAAACAGTAATATATATGACATGTACTCCAGGACCTGTAATTTTGATGAAGTCCAGTTAATTGTTTACTATTAAGAATGACCTCTCTGTACACAGGTGGACTAAAGTCCATGATCTGCTGATTCAGCAGAGGATCAGAAAAGACTTTCTGGCTCAAGCTGTGAAGGAATCAAGCGCCATGCTAAGGTAAAAATACCTTGACTTAGATGTTCACACAGGAAAAAAAACCCACCAGCAACACATGAAAATGCAAAGAAACACCAGGAACCATCCACACCAAGAGGACTCGCTATAAGAGCCAAATTATGGCTGAATCACATCCCTCCTTCTGGTGCTGAAAGCTGGACAGACTGTTATGGTCACCAAAAAATATTACACGTAGTTCACAGCAGTCTAAAAGGGTTGGGGTTTAGTTATGGGAAGGATGTGAGAAAACATCGTCATTTAAACTTGCTTTCTCCTTTTTTACATGTTAAAAATCTCCAACTAATGGGTGTTGTGTCGCTGCGTTAAGGGACGGCCACAAAGTGTTTTTTGACCAGCTGGCCGAGCATCAGGTTCCCCTGCTGATCTTCTCCGCCGGCATCGGCGATGTGCTGGAGGAAGTGATCCGGCAGAACGACGTCTTCCATCCCAACGTCCACATAATCTCCAACTACATGGACTTTGACCACACGGTGAGTGTAACCACGCCCGACTTGCGTTTTTCAAGTACTATTATAGCATCATTATATTACAGCTCTTGAACGACGTGTGTGAATGGTTTTCCGTCCACCGTGTTCAGACGGTCATCGCTCTCTTCCTATTGGCTAAGCCAAACCTTTGTGTCAGAGCTCATATTAATCACAGCCTGTCGTCCTGGTGAAAAGGGGGTCCTGCGGGCCTTCAAAGGCCAGCTGATCCACACCTACAACAAAAGGGAGGGGGCTCTGTCTCAGGCGGCCGGCCTCAAACAGCTGCAGGGTCGCCCCAACATTCTGCTGCTGGGGGACTCTCTGGGAGACCTGACCATGGCCGATGGAGTCCCAGAGCCGCAGAACATCCTCACTGTCGGCTTCCTCAACGACAAGGTCACACTCACCATTCACCGGCTTCTCGTCGGTCAACACACACAGCGCCAGAGATCCATGCTCACCGTCCGGCCTCTTCCCGTTTCAGGTGGAGGAGAGAAAAGAGTCCTACTTCAACTCATTCGACATCGTGCTGGTGAAGGACGAGACAATGGACATTCCAAACGCCATCCTCAGATTCATCACCTCACTGAGAGATAAGTAGGACTCTGAGGAGGAGGAAGGCGGACGCGTTAAGGTGCTGCAGACACTCTGACCTCTGACCTCTGCTCCCTTTGAAGTCTCACAGGGAATGTGGTAGCTCGAGCTTTCCGTTGTAGAGCAGCAACAAACTTCTTTTATAACACACCAGAAACACATGCTTCTCTTAAAAGCTAATCTCCCACGAGTTTTTGTATATCAGTTTTATGTTTTTTGTCACTCCTTTAGTAAAAAAGAAGACCTGTTATGTAGACGTATTTTTACTGAATGAGGAAGCAGCACTTTAGAGATGTTCATTCAGCAAATGTTCTCCTGCTAAGCAGTTAGTCTCAGATGGACCTTCTTCTTCTGGAGTTTGTACGTTCCATATTGTTCGTCTTATTTTTCTGCACATACTTGATATTTACGCCTGGTTAGACTCCATATTTGAATTTTAAGTTTACTACACTAACATTAACAAAGCGATGCAGATTTAATCCGTTCTCATTTCAAGCACAGAATCCCATTACTGTTTTATTTTAATGTAGAAGCACTTTAAAGTGAGTTAGTTGTCTTTGCCATAAGTTATGAAGCATGTGAAAAAAGTGATGGCCATGCATTGTACAGTAAATGTGGTCATTTTGAACTGGTGTTGAAAAGCCTGAAACGATTGGTTTTAAAATGCCACTGGAATTCACAAATGTTCAGATGAAAATTGAAATTTCATACATGGAGAAGGACAGAACCAGAACAGCGGATAAATAATAATGAGATATACAGGAATCATGGCAGTCTTTTTTGATAATTATCAGTATGTGTATCAGTTAGTGTATTAAACCAAACAGATATTACAGCGACATCTCAAAGACAAATTCAACTAAGCGTTTTGTTTGTTTTTTTGCACTCCTGGAACGTTGTATTAAAAAAACACAACGCCGTATAACTGTACTAGATCTCTAAAGTTGTAAACATGAACTGTGCTGTTTGAAATAGCTGGTTATTTTTATGTTGAGTTATACTAAGAAATACTATAAGCCAATGGAGCATGAAAAGACACAAAAAAACTCTTTTACTGAGAGAGAAGGGTTGGAGTTACCTGAAAAGTAAAAAAAAGCCACACAAAACCTTGAGCCGTTTTTTACAAATATTTTAATTAAGGGTTTCAGGGACACATAAAGGTGCTTGTTTCATAGCTGTATTTCAGAATAAAGCAAACAACACAGATTTCTAAAAAAAGAAGAAAAAAAGAATATTTTCTGCTGTTTTTTCTGTCACCCAGAAGGTGGTCCAATGTGATGTGGAAAACATTAAACTGTGACACTAAATGACAAGCGTCCGGTCCTACTATTTCTGTTTTATGGTGTGTGGGCTTTATCCCTGAGAGAGAAAACCAACGCGTTTCATTCCCGTCACAACTCCTCGTGCCTTGCCTCTTCCCGTTCCTTGTCCTCCTCCACTTTAAGTTTGAGCTCACTGGCTGTGATCACACCGTCCTTATTGCGGTCCTGGTTCTGGAACATGTCGGCGACCACCTGCTCCATGGTCAGTCCGGGCTTTATGCGGCCTTTGCCCGCTTCCACCTGCTGCTTGATGAACTCAGCAAACTAAAAAGGAAAAGATGAGATCAACTTAAATCTTTGGCACAAAAACCCCCCACAAAAAACAGCATGGTGGATATGCACTGGTGGTGATAGCTTCCCACTGAAAACAGTTTTCAGTTGTCTCATCTTAGGTCACGAAGCATAAATACTTTGTTCCTTTTCACTGTTATGAGCGTTGTCTCCAATATCGCCACTAAGTGGCACCAAAGTAATCCAAACTATATCATGAATTTATTTTTGTTTTTTTGTTATATTTAGTCTACCAACTCTTCCCTATTTATTTGGTATTTATTAGGTATTTATTTGGCAGATTAACACTTGATTATATTGTCATTTTACAGATAATTAGTACCCTCGGTGGTCCGACTTTAAGCAGACACGTACCTCCTCCTGTGGCACCTCTCCATTCTTGTTCATGTCCAGGGCCTCAAACAGGTCTGCAGGAGTGTCCTCCAGCCACACGAACAGGTAACCCTGAGGCACGCCTTTCTCAAAGCTGTCCAGCTCGATGTCAAAAACCAGCACGGCACTGCTGGGCACTCCGGTGGCTGAGGGACAGGAGAGGACACCCGTTAACTCTGCATCACCAGCCCCGTCTCTGGCTTCATCCTTCCAATTCTGCTTTTACTCAAATAGAAATCTGCTCGGTTCTGCTGCAAATAAACACAAAAACAAACCCCTCTCACCTCCTTTCTCTCCGTGTCCGAAGTGCGGCGGCACTGTGATCAGCCTCTTCTCTCCCACACACATCCCACGCAAGCCCTCGTCCAGACCGTCGATCACTTTGTCCCACCCCAGAACTGCATCTTGTAGGTTTTCGTAGTCATGTCTGAGGATGAGGGGCATTCGTCGCTTACCGGTTATCGATTGGTCGCGCGGATCTGAAAGTCGCTAAACGCGGGAGGTTGAAAGCAGGTCTACTCACGAGGAGAAGAGCAGCGTGCCGTCCACCAGAGAGCAGTTGTAGTGGTAGCGGACCAGGTCGTTCTCTGCCGTGGTGTCGTTGCACAGCTCGGGTTTGTAGATGATCTGGATGTCCACCTTGTCGCTGGGGTTGTGGAAGTCGATGACGTGGATGTCAAAGACGAGGACGGCAGACGGGGGGATCACGTCACCTGGACGGGTCACCAAAGGAAAAGGTCTAGTCGCAACACAGCCTGAAGGAATGGTGCTGCTCACCCTTAGACGCATATGATTCACTGTCTGATTTATTTTATTTTTGCAAAGAGGTTCTTCAAACTTCTACGACGGAGCGCCTCTTGTGAGGGGAAACTTTGATGAACCAACTCACCGGCTCCCTGCTCGCCGTAAGACAAGTGTGGAGGGATGATGACCCTCCTCCTCTCCCCCATGCAGACCCCCAGCAGAGCCTGGTCCATGCCCGCGATGACGTACCCCATCCCGATGTAGGTGTTGTAGGTGCTGTTCCTCTGGTAGCTGGACACAAGAACAAAGATATGTCCCTCCAAAACCTGCTCTCAGAAGTCATATGAAACATGATCGTCCGGTCTAACTTCAACGAACTCACCTGGTGTCGAAGGTGACTCCGTTCTGGAAGGTTCCGTTGTAGTGGTACCGAACGTAATCCCCCACCACAGTCGTGCGGTTGCACGACTTGGGCACCACCTGGTTCTCAATGGTGATGTTGTCCTTTGGGTTGTAAACGTCTACCAACAGGACATTGAACACCAGAGTGGCCTGGGGGGGGATCTCTGTGCCTGGCATCGGGGAGAAAGAAATCATGTCACCCAAAGGGGTAGTCGGAAACTATCGTATGGGGCTCTAATACTAAAGGCAGAAATTTGGAGGAGGCTGCTAAAGAGATGTCTTCAGATTTATAGGAACCTAATTTCAGAACAAGAAACCTACCATTTAGATTCATTTCAGTACCCCTGACCAGCACCAACCCACAGGTATAAATCATTTTTTAAACAAAGTATTGTTCTGTGAAGAAGCAGTGGGCCTGCTAAGGAACAGCTTGAGGAACTCATGAAGAGCTCAATTAATTCCTTCCCAAAATTTTCAGCTAACAGGCCACAAAAAATTTGATTTCTCGATATTTTTCCAGACCCCATTAATGTTCCCAGGGAAACCACTGCTCTGAACTACAGATATGCCAAACTGCCGAAACCCCAGGACCCAATAACTCACCATCCAGAAACCAAAGGACAGTAGGGTCATAGAGAGTTTAGTGACATACCAGAAAAAAATCTGAGGCTAAAATTGAGGTATCTACATTAATTTTGTTCAAAATGTATGATTTGTGTGTCGGTTCCTTTAGACCTCTGATCCCGTGGTATTGGAACATGTTGGTACTTTCCCCTCACCTGATCCTTTCTCCCCGTAAGCCTTGAACGGTGGGATGACGATGTTTCTGATCTCTCCCACACACATGCCCAGCAGGCCCTCGTCCATCCCTTTGATCATCCAACCCTCTCCTACCAAGGAGTTCTGGGTCTGCTTCCTGTTGTAGCTGCGTGGGGCTCACACAAGCGCAAAGTCAAACACACATCTCCACACAGACAACATCCCTGGATGACACAGTGCAGACACAGATTGGGAAAGGGGAAACGTCAGAACGGATGGCACTGCCGGTCCCGGTCTTGACTCCTACCGAGTCAAGGCATTCACAAAAAGCCCTGCATCCGAAACTCTACTTCACCTGGAGTCAAAGACGGTGCCGTCCAGCAGCGTGCCGTTGAAGTGGTAACGCACGAAGTCCGTGCGCATCACGGAGCGCCTGCAGTCTTTGGGGGTGCTGATGCTTTTAGTGACCACCAGGTCGGCCTTATTCCACAGGTCCAGCAGAATGATGTCAAACACCAGCGTGGTGTCTGGAGGAACCACCTCACCTGGAAAAGAGGTAGGATGGACGTTAGAGGAACTCATAACTGAAAGAAACAAATCTGTGCCTTGGTTCTGATTTTATTTATTCTTCCCAGTGGAGAGGGAGTGTCCAGAGTTTTATTTACACTCACAGCATCAGTGAGATAGTGGACCTCACTGGGTTAGTCAGTTAGTCAGAGTACAACTCAAGCTGAGCGACAAAGGCCGATTTTGGAGCGAAGCATGTCAGCGTCTAACGTGTCTTTTATTTTAGTGAGGGCCCTTATTATCATAGCAAATCAATGCCAAACCAAACCCTCATGTTACAACAGCGTGGCCCAGCAGTGAGACGGTGATGGGGCCCGACCTGCCTGCAATCCAGATCCGTCACCACGAGAGCACGGCCGGTTCATCCAAAACCCCCAATGCTAAAAATCCAACTCTGAAAACCACAGACGCATGGTGGGCATTTGGAATAAAGAAGGAACAGAACTGCTGAGCTGCTGAAAAAAATTTAAAAGATTTTTTAAAATAAAGGAAAATAGATTGTAGATCTTTGGGTGATGTTGGGGGACAGACTAAAAACTTGTTAAAGCTCTTGAAGAAATCTGGAATTTCAAGATTTACCACACGTGTCAACAGAAAATCTGCAACCCAGAACGTTACAGATTTATGTTTAAAAAGCAATGCCGTTTTTATTCTTGGGGAAAGTAAATAAATGAAAGACAAAGAGCCGTGTACCTGCCCCGGTGCTCCCGTAGGCCAGGTGGGGGGGGATGGTGATGGAGCGGCGCTCGTTGACGCACATCCCCTGCAGGCCTTTGTCGATGCCCGGGATCAGCCGGCCCTCCCCGATCAGCCCCACTTTGGCCGCTCCTTTCTCCAGGCTGCGAAGGCAAAAACCAGATTGGCTCAAGCAGACCAAACACACGCTCGAAAGTAGGTCAACTTTCAGAGGATGGCTTTAAGAGATTCGCAGGCGGATGCTGCAAACGTGTCGTGGCGTGTAAAAAGCTTTGAAATGTCAGGACCGCCTGCAGGCTGAGGTTTGCATCTTTTTTTTTTTTTTTTCTTCCAGGGCCTCTGTAGCTCTGATGGCGAAAATCTGTGAATAAATATGTGAAAGATGACTCGGATGACTCACCTCGAATCAAATTTTTTCCCGTCGGTGAACGTGGCGTTGTAATGGTAGCGGACGTAGTCTCCGCTCTTCGCCTCGCGGCCGCAGTTTTTGGGGATGAAGTATCTGTCCACGACTACATCTGCCACCACGGGGCTGGGGTTGCATTCCACGGAAAACCACGCAGCGAGGAAGAAGAAAGTTGTGCAGAGGGCAAACATTTTTAAAGAGAAAAAAAAAACGGGCTGAAGAGCGAATTTAACTGATCCAAACGGAGCTGTGCGCTTTTGGGGGGGGGGAGTTCCGCGGGAGGGGCGCGCTGTTCGCTGGGTGCGCTGCGAAGGCTGAGTGCTGTAAACGTGGACAATCTCCAGGTCTCTGTGCAAACTTTTTTTTTTTTTAACAAGAGAGAGGGAGGAATGTTGGGAGGGAGTGGGGGAGCATTTCAGTCAAACTTTCCACCGCAAGGAAAGAAGGGATAAGCACGCTTCCTTTAAAGAAATAAAAGAAGGGACGCCTAACCGAGCTGCGGACTCAAGAAAAACCTGATGATCGTTTGTGAAGCTGGAATGAACACAGTTTGGAATGATCTTGTTCATCATATATCCTAGTTTACAAATGTATGTATAGTTTTCATAACGGAATTTAAAGAGGTAGGCTATTCGATGTCATTTAAAACTAATCTTCTGTAGGTTATTCCAGGAAAAACCTACGAGCAATCATTTCAGCATCTTACGTTTTAGTTTGCGTTTTGACACGCTTACGTTTGGTTTACTCTGAAAATAAAGCCCCGTTTCTTTCCCCCCCTGCACCGCTGTTTCCAGCTGGAGACGGAGACCCGCCTCTGGATCAGCCTCTCCGAGCCGTAAAGTAGCCCGATAGCCTGGCGATTTTCTGCTTTTTCCTTCGTGCCGTGAAGCCTGGAGAACCGTCTCCTCCCCCTAAGATCCCCCTCCTCCAGTTTCACACACATCTCCAAATATAACTGCGCAGACTAACACATTTCGACGAGGTGATGCGAAACAAGACTTGAAGAACGAGTCAAAAACTCTGTTGGAAGTTTAATCACATCATGTTTGAGTTCATGTAGGCCACAGCAGATCATTCTGGAGAGGTGAAAGCTTCTAAGCCATCCAACCTGAAGTCTTTGTCATCATTAAAATACATTTAATACGTCTAAGTCCTGTTTTTACGCACGTCTCAGTGCTGCGTGAACATGAAGGGGAAACAACATTTGTGGACACAGCTGCTGGTCCGCGCTGAGAAACCTGAGCCTCCAGCCTTTGGAATACCCTATCCTGGAATTCCCAAAGACCCCTGAGCGTTATAACAGACCCCTGCACGGGAAGGCAAGAGACGACAGAGATGGGGAGACGGAGGTGTTGTCTCGTCGTGGTAACCCTGTGCGTCAAAGCGGAGCCGCTGTTAACTCTGCTCTGCGCGACTTTTGTCGCCATGGCACCCGCACAACATCACAACCACAGTTTGCGGAACGTCCCAGAAGAGGAGCTGATGCCCCTGGCCGCCGCCTACGGGCTGGCGCTGGACAGCTACGCGACAGGAAACTGGACGGAATCCATCCGCTTCTTCGACCTGAGTCTGCGTTTGCATCGGCTCGCGAGGGACAGCGCGAGGCACTGCGCGCTCCGCTGCGGGCGCGGGGAGCCGCCGCCGTTCGCGGCCGGCCCGGAGCTGCGCGCACGCTGGCAGCTCGTGCGGGAGGCGTCCTGCCAGAGGAGGTGCCGCGCGCGCCTCCCCGCGCTGCGGCTGCCGCCTCCCGGCGCGCGGCTCCGGGAGGAGTTCAGCAGCAGGGCTCCCTACAGATACCTGCACTCCGCACACTCACACGTGAGCCTGAGATTCACACGGTTCATCACATGCCTACATTTGACACCAGAGTCGGAATGATTGCCATGGTGACACTGATTTAAAAAAAATAAAAAAAACAAATCAATTGAATTAATTGGCCTACAGGTCATTGTCAAGCTTTGTAATCACCTTTAAATTTCTTAATGAAGAAAAACCTTTATCTTTGTGGAGACTAAAAGTTCATTTTAAGACATAAAGCGTTTGTTAAATCGTGCTTATGTGCCAAATCTATTAAAAATAGGTTTTAAAACGTAAATAATTGTCAAAAAAGAATCCAGAATCTATCATTAAAGTACCTTTGGCACCAGTGACAGCCTCATCTCTACATTTGGCACACTATCTGTGGATGATTCAGTCACTTTTCTTTGGTCAAGCAGGTGTGATTCATACACCTCCTCAGGTGCTGGGGTTTTTATCCAAATAATTGGTGGATTTGAGCTGACTCATCTCCGTGGTGGAACTCATTCAAACTGATGCCTACTTTTTTTTTTTATCTGGCAGCCTAAGAACTAGGATGCACCACAGCTCAGCAGTGGAGTTTGACTACTTGCATGGAGGATTTTTTTGGGGAAAACGCGCCTGTCTTTTATGTCATATTCAAAATGTGTGTATATACGTAGTCGGTGGGGGGCAGAGTTCAGCACAAAGAGGAAATCATTTTTTAAAAATAGCTCACTTCAGCATCTAAATTCATGGTGTGCCCAGCTCAATGACCTGCAGAGCGCCGTCCCGTGTGCCTACACCTTCCTCCAGAGGAACCCCGAGGACCAGGAGTTGCTCCAGTTAATGCAGGAGTACAAGAAGGAGTACGACCTGAGTGGCTTCCTCATCGACTACGAAGAGCATCCTTATGAGGTGACAGCAGCTGTCTGCCACCCTGTAAAGCATTCTGTGGGCTGGTTGTATGTTTCCACCAGGTGGGGAAAGGGTAGACTTTGGTTCTTTAAGAAATAAATTAAAATCAACTTGAATTCAAGAGCAAGCAGATTACTTGCTAAACATTTTCAAAGCAGATATTATAAGCATTATTTTGGACACACAAAGGAAAATAATGACATTCAGTTTGGTTAAACTCACTTTGTGAATCAAGTTTAAAGATTATATTTTAGACAGTGATGGAAAATGCTGAAATAGCAAGCTTTAAGTGGAATCATTTAGGTTCAATCAAACCAGAATAGGCCGAACTGGACTAGTGAAACATAATAGGTTTGGAGGACAAGGAAATCCTTTTTCCCTTAGCACATAAAGTCTGGTAATATGAGTATACCCTCATGTGAGGGGATAGACACATCCTGCCGCCCTCCAAACTCGACTCAATCAATCATTTCTATTCTCAGCACTACAACTTTGGATTTCAAGAAGAGACTGAAGTTATTATAGCACATAAATGGGCAACACCAAATAACTCCATAGTTTGGATCATCATGAAGAAACTCAATGAGATAGCATTTAGCAAAAACTGAATATCTGCTGGGCAGATTCTGGGCAAAACCTCCAAATTTAGATGATCTGAGACGTGCAAAGGCCCCTCAGTGTCTCAGAGGGAAATCTGATTGAGAAACATATTAGTCATTCTTGGCATTTGCCATCCATTTTTAAAAAGGTTAACATAAAGAAAAGAGTGGAATGCTCCAACTTGGACGGGAGAGTAAAAAGTCAAACTCAACAACTCAACCGTTAAAACTTTTCAGGAGGCACTCTTTGTGCTATCTTTTTTTGGCTCCAACTTGGTAACTGTCTTCAGGGGTACTAATGCGCAGCATATTCTTTCCAGGCCTCCTTTGTGAGAGGAGTGAAACAGGTGGGTTTGGGGGAATACAGCAACAGTGTGGAACATCTGGAGGAAGCCCTGAGGCTCTACCTGCAGGAGTACCACCTCTGTCAGGCTGACTGTGAGGGCATTGGTCACTTCCCAGCAGACAGGGACTTCTACACGGTCATAGCTGGTTAGTGTGCCAGTACAAATCAATTCAGTACATTTAGAAATGGATAAATATTCTACATTTGAAAAACTGCACCCTTGATTGATTCTGTACAGCCCTGGCTTTCAGTTTAACAGACTTTTCATTGATGTGCTTTTCAACAGAAGTCTATGTGGATATATTAAAGTGCCAGCTGAAGTGTGAGAAAAACCTGATGCCAAATGTTGGTGGATACTTTGTGGAAAACTTTCTCCCAACCATTTACCACTACCTCCAGTATGCCTATTACAAATGTAAGTTTAGTGCCAGCCGATCTTCCAATGGTTATCCTGGTAGATATTCGCTATCAGTCTTCCATCTGTTAATATTCTGCAAAATCCACCTGTCTGCTGTGCTGCCTGACCAGTGAACGATGGCCGCAGGGCGGTGCCCTGTGCGTACAGCTATTCCCTGTTCGATCCCGAAGACCAGCTCATGAAGCAGAACCTGCTCTACTACAAAGTCTACAGTCAACAATGGGGTCTTCAGTCTGGTCACTTCAAGCCCAGAGTGGTGAGAGGAAACGTTTTTCTAAATATCAACATCAGCTTCAAAGCAATTCATCAATATATAGAAGATCAGAACAGATCTGCTAATGTATAAGAGGAGGCCTGAAGGTGACAAATAGAGAAGGGAGGAACTACCATAAAACAACTGCAACTTCGAAAAAGCGTGCACTTTTTATATAGATACAGTCTTGGATTAATGGTTTGAAAATAATACATTTATTTGAAGGTGGCAATGCTATGTGGAGTGGGCTGCTTTGAAGATCTCTCTCCATTTTAACAGGAGGCTTTCAAACTCTACAACCAGACGATGGCTCAAAAGGAGATGCTGACACTTACAGAAATGTATTTGGAGCTGAACGATGAGGTGACATTTAAAATAAACAGATACTCTGATCTTTTAGAAAGCAAGTAATGTTTCTGTTCTGCGATTACCTAAAATTAAAGATGTTGCAAAGTAAAGACATTTCAAATCCAGATTAAATTGAATTGGGGCAGCACAGTGGTGTGGTGGTCAGCAGCATAAGTGGTTCCTGTATGGAATCCCTGGTGACCGGGATGGTGGCCTTTCTGTATGGAACTTAATTTTTTTTAGTTGATCAATATAAAACAGAAAATTGTTTTTCAGGATATTTCTGGACCAGAACAAGTTGCAGTCATGGCTTCTGAGTCCCCGGATGCAGAATTTGAAGGTGTGGGAGACTATGAGGAGTCCATCCGTGCTGACTGGAGCCAGACGAAGGGAAAAGGAGATGCTGGAAAGTCAGACATCTGAAAGGGGGCTAAAAAGTGAAAGCAGAAATCAAACAAACAAAAAATACGTAAAAAAAAAAAAAGAAAGAAAGACAGAAAAAGTTTTTCTTACTTTTGGTAATTGCATTTTTTTTCTCTCCACGAAACTGTTTTATAAAGAAAACATTGTTAATCTCTTAAAACTTGAGCCACCTACTTGCCTGACTAATTCATGAAATAAACGCCTTTTTTGCCACTTTAGGTCACAGGTAGGGAGCAAAATTTGTAAGAGCAAATTGGGGTTAGCTTAGTGATGGGCAACAATGAAACTTGTATAAGTAGTCACTTGTAGAATCGAGAAAAAAGGTTTGATCCAGGTTTGATTGACATTTTCTTATCTGTGAAGAAGCAGGCAAGTCAGCATGTAGTCAGAGATATACGTTTTAATATACAGTCATATGAGTCTTTACACTCAAAGTCAAGAGATAGTGGTGCCAAAATCCTTTTTGATGAATCCATTCACAACATGTGATCGTATCAGAGGCAGTAAACGCATTCTTAAGACTTCATAATGTCCCAAATGTTGGTAGTGTATGTTGAGAGGCAGTGTAACTTGGATCGATGTGTTCTGGTGTCTATACTACTTTCAGAGGAAATAAAAGAAGAATTAGATGAACAAAGAAGCTTTTAGAACTGAAGTTTTTTTTCAATTACAGAACAGTTCTAAAAGTTTCTAACCCTGTAATCACATTTCGGATGTAATGTTTAGCTTACACATTTATTGCTTATGTTGGAACTGTCCAGCTAGGATTAATTCATGGTAGTAAATTAGGTCTTAAGTATCTTTGAAATCTAGTTTCTGCCTTACTAAACTTGATCACCTTATTGTGAATTATAAACCGGAAATGTATAGATTTTATAGAGTCTGTGCTCAGTATGATTTTGGAAATCTGTGCTGGATGTCATAGCTTTGCAGTTTAAAGGAGACATATTAGGCTAAACAAATGTTTTTTTGAGGGCTTTTTTGTTTGAAAAGATTTAATTCAGTGAGGATGTTCACCATGTTAAAAAAATAATCATATCAGTCCAACAACACCTAAAGTTCTCTAATGCCCGTGTAGTGTTCTACCAGCCAATGTCATTCAAACTTGAGGGTCTCAAAGCTGAATAATTATATAAGCTGGAGTCCAAATCCATGCTTTCATTCATACACTCATTTAGACTCATTTAGACATTCCAACTTTTGAAATTGTTCCATGTGCTACATTCATACAGCTGAATTCATGACATGTTCACATTTCACAAAATTTTCTGAAGATCATCCCTTTCAAGCTAACTTTTTCCAGACGTTTGTTCTTCTTAAATAAAATCCCAATCTGTAAAACTGCTGCATCATTTGACAAAATCACGCTACACATAACTTAAAGACTACTTTTTCTCCCACACACAAAGTTAGAGTTGAATGTCTTGAACACCCTCTTGTGTAGTGCACAGGGTTACAACGATGGGCATGTGGTCACTAACTCCATTATAATCCTTTGCAAATATGCTGGGACCAGAGTAGCAGACTATTTAAACTAAACTATTCATGCACTTTTACTGACTTTTTTTTACATTTCATATCCTAACTAACTTCTACACATGACGCAATAACAGGTGTCAGGGGTATTGGAATGTAATTCCTTTCCAAATGTACATTTGAAGTGAGGATAAAACCTGTTGGGCACTAAGACCAAATGATATGTTGTTGACTTGTTTCTTTTCTTAAGAAAAAAATATGTCTCCCATAAACTTTAATATGTCAGAGTCTTGTATGAAACACATCACCTCTGGCATTTTGAAGACTGTTTCTTGCTAATTATATTTTCATTTGTCGGCAGGAGGAGTCTTTTTCCAGACTTGTGCTTCCATTCAGAACGGCAGTGAGTCACTGCTGTCTAAATGAGTAGCTACACTATTTACAACAGCACCTATGTTCAGCATACTTGTATGCATATAGTGTGGATATGGTTTAGATATAATACGGATAAAATATTTAGTGGGTACATGTGCAACTTCCCATCTGCTTGGCTCCAGTACAAACACAAATTTCCTTGCAAGCTCCAACTTTAGTTTGATATTAACAGATATGACTTACGAGCACTTATGTACTACTGATGAGTTCCTGCCTGATTAGGAAAGGCATCAGAAGTGAAGTAATGGCTATTGATGTGGAATGTTAGGGTCTATCAAACAAACAATCTAAGTATAGACAGGCATAAAGCCAACACTCAGTAATTAGAGATATTTTTACACTTCTATTGCAATTAAAGTTACCTATTAAGAGAGAGTGGGTGGGCTCTCCAGAAGATTAAATAATAGTGCCTTAAAAAGTCTACACTAGGAGAAGTGCATGGCCTTCTTCCAGTAAATCACTTAAAGGGTTTGAGCATGATAACAGTCCAGACAGCCGAGGACCAGCTATCGCCGCCAACTGCAAAGCATGAAAAAAGGATGTGATGCCATCAATAGCGATGTGGAAATTTGCTCCCAGACACTCCCTGACATTTAGTAGAGTCATATAAACATGTCCTGTGGGTTTCCGACATACTCCGATACATCTAGAGAGAGCGAATACAGATGAGGAGAAGGAGACCAACAGAGTCAGAACAGGGAACAGAAAAGTTCTGATGGCTTTTAAGTGGAAGACATCTTTGTTGGGCGTCCTCAGAGTGGACAGTACACAGTGTGAGGAAGACAAGAGAGCAGAGAGACACGCCTCAAACTCCTGAAGATCTGGAAAAACAAGACCAATGAAGATAACAGAAGATAAGAATCTAGATAAATAAAAGATGCAGGAGAAAACAGAGTTTGAAGTCAGACAATCTGAATTCTAACCTGGTAAAAATGCAAGTCTGCATATCCTTATAAAAGGTTTTACAACTAACTGGCAGGAAAAAGAGAGGCATGTAATATTCACTTTAAGAATGCAAGAAAGAAAAAAAACAGCCCCTGAGAACATGGAACTATTGGATTTGTCAACATTGACGTATTTGCTTGATAGATTACATCAATGAATAACGGATAAACAAATGTACTTTGTGTTGACAAACTAACTAATAAACTACATTAGAAATGCCCTAATAAAATTTATCATAATAAAAACAGAATTCTAGGCAAATCCTATTAATTTCAAACAAATTTAAAAAAATTAAATTGTAGCACACTAAGATATTCTTCTGTTTCCTACAGTTTACTGTCTGTTAAGCATATTGAAATCGATTCAGATGGAGGTTTTGTTTAGTTTAAAGGATCTTTGGATGTGTGTTGTAAATCACTACATAACATATAAATACTGTTTACTTGTCCTTGTGTGAATAACGATTAAATTAAAAAAATGTGACAGTTCTGTTTGAATTTAGGTGATGGGCGTGGGTGTATAAAACAGATGGCGTAGTGGACAGTGATCGATGATGTCCTGGTTTAAGGCTCAGGATTGAAAGGCAGGTTCATACCTTCCTTTCCGGATGTTTCTGCATCGGCAGCAACGCAGGAGGAAGATGAGGTGAACAAGAAAGGTACAGTAAGATAATCTGTTCATGTACGTGTGGGAAAACAAGCATTTGCGACTCAGTCACGAAAGCAAAGAAGCAAAACAGACATTTAGAATGTCCCTAGACATCAGATTTCAATTGGCTTATTTCTTTATATGCCGCTGTCACAGCAATACTGGCATGCAAGGAAGTATGTTTAGAAAATAAGCTACAAAAAAAAAAAAAAGACGAGAGCTTGTTAATATGTGTTTCTTTTTCAATCAGAGATGCCAAATCCACTCATTTACTCTCCGTTGGAGTCATGATGGAGATACACTGCAGCAGCTTTTAGTCATGGAGGCAGAACCTTAAAATTCATCCTTGGGGGCCAGTGCTCACCTGCCCACTGGCCCCTTTAGTGCTGAAAAGGTTCATTTGGTTTACTGCAATGCAGCTCCATAAAAAGCGATCCATGTAGCTTTTTTCCTGTTGCATTACTCCAGAGGGGCCCTGGGCACCATGTCCCTGTTACCGATTGACCATAAACTATTTCTCAGCCCATAATTACAATAAACTAACCAACACATGATTAGACAACTTCCATAGATGTGGTGCTGCTCTAAAGCCGTCTGGCCCAATCATCTGTTCGTACCAACAAAAAGAGCAGGCTTAATGTCCTTCTTACTATATTCCACACTTGTGACTGGCTGTGTGAGGCTTGAAGGTCCCCAACAGAGATGGGGCTCAGGCTGTATATGCAAAACTAAAACTGTTATCTATACTTTCTTACTCTTCTTTCTCAACTAAATTAATCTAAGTCAGATAATTCATATCACCGCAGGGAAAACAACCCACAACATGATGAATAACCTGACACCGCCGATCGGAGAGCAAGGCAAAGGAGCAGTCAGCAGCAGCTGCATGCATGGAGGGGCACAGCAAAAACATACAAATCGAGGCATGCCAGAGCTCTTACTTAAAACCCCAGCCAGTTCCTCCCAGGACTATTGCTGCCAGTAGAATTGCACCAGCAACTGAACCTATTATGATATTGGTGCCACTGGGACCTATGGGAGCAAATGAGCCCGCCAGAAAGAAAAAAAATGTGTGATGAGAAACCAAGAATCATTCCTTCCTTTTAAACCCTTTTTGTGATTTGAAGCTGTCAAAGAATACTAAAATTAGAGGAACACATTCTTACAAACAAGCTCTTGCTATCAAACAATCTTAAATTCTCACGGAAATTTAGTGGAATCTGCATTTTCTTGACTTTTTTCTGTCGGTTTTCAGCATTTAAATGTTATTGCAGCTAACAGAATAAAGTTTAAACTGAAACTTAGGACACGCCATAATTTTGTCCCTAAAACCTTGCCCACACAATGAGCTGTCATGGGCTCCTGAGCACGAGTTATCTGACCCTCTGACAAATGATTTAACAGCAACATACAAGGACCGAATTAAAATAGGTCGGCAAAGTGTTTTCAGGTACTTGTTTGACAGAAAGGAAACGTGCACATCAAAACTAACATGAAAAATAATTTACAAATGTAGAAAAATAATCGCTAACCTTACCACAAAATTTAGCATCAGGAAATCAAATGACAAACAAAAAACGCTTTTAGCTCAAATAAGCATTTGGTAACTAAGTATTTCTGTATATGAGCATCTTTTGAAATGTGAAACATGGAAACCCCATCTCCCACCCCCATCAGCTATGCTCCTAGCTTGTTTTTGGCCAAAAGGTTCAAACTCATGAACAAGATTCAGATTAAAAGTTTTACTTTACAGCTTTTTCTAGAATTGAGGTTCTGTAATATGTATTTTGAGTTAGCACTGACACTGCAGATAATGAAGAGGTTTGCAGAAGCTATTCCTGATCATGTAGAAATGGCACTAATTATTCTTGAAGAAATTAGTTTTAACCGACTGGTAAAAGAACTAAACCGCTCTGTGTGGTTACCTTTGTATTTCTCCAGGCCGTCCGGTGGGGTCGGAGTTGGAATCGGGTCAAACACACTGCAGTCCTTTCCAGTGTAGTCTGGTTCACAGATACACTTCACTTCGTTGCTGCAAGTCTGTGAGAAACATCAGTGGGTGCCATTAATGCCGGCTGGCCCTGTCTTTGATCAGAAAGCAGATGTTTACTCACCCCGTGGTGGGAGCAGATCCGGGAGGCTGAGGAGCCTGGGCAGGTGCTGAGGTTAAAGGTGGGGACGGGAAGGCAGCGCCGCTCCAAACACATCATGTTTGGCCCACACGGTGTGCCATCCTCCACGTAACCCAGATCCAGACCGTCATCCAGCACTGCATGACCCCCCCTACAGGTCACAGAATATCATGTTTACCTGATCCTAAATCAGGTTTTACAACAGCAATTTGGTCCCTGTGTTTCCCCAAAAACCTCCCACCAATGGAATTGTTGACTTGTCAATATTTCCATTCTCTCTAAGTGACTGCTCTTTATCAGCCTCACCTGCAGTCCATGTATCTGTTCTGATGGTGGATAGTTAGACTGGTGAGTTTCCCCTGCAGTTCACCAAAACTTGGCCTCTCAGTCAGATTGGTACAAAGCAGCAACCCACACAGAACGTCCCTGTAAAACCAAAGAAGACTCAGCAATAAAAAGCCTGAAACTCCACAATATACCTCGGGCTCAAACATAAAAGGCTTTAATAAATTTCCCCACTGTTTGTTGCACTGCACCCATCCTTGTCCACTAGGGTCTGGACCACAGTTGCCTTTCTCTGTCCCCTCAGAGTTGAGCTTTTCATAGCAAAACCTATCCGCTGAGTCTGAACAAATTAAAAAAAGAAAAAAGAGAGAGACCAGTTTCAGTAATCACCCATCAAAGCCATAAGGATTCACACAAAATTGTTAAAGACCAGTATCACCGGCCTCCACCATGAGATGGCAGCGCAGCACCGTAAAAGCCAAACCTACTGTAGCCCCAAAGAGCCCTGCACTGCCCGTCTCTGGTTTTACAGCGGCCTCCGTAGCATCGACCCTGGCCCACATTACACGTGTAGCCGTCTAGTTTGTGGACGTTATGAGGACACTGAAAGAGATGGAACCGTCAAACTCAGCTGGGTGGATTCCAGTTGTTTGAACGCGATGTGTCAAAGTTCTTTTACCTGACTGGAGTCTCCTGTGCACGTCTCAGGGATGTCACAGTCGTTTACTGCACCGCGACACGTTACTCCTCGCAGCTCGTACTGTGACGGGCAAAATAAGAAAAGAGGACCGCAACAATAAAGAAGCGGGTGATCAAATTCAATTCTTACCAATGCTAAATCCAACCATTTAACTCTGTTTTCACATGTACTTTGCTGCAACTTCACAAAATCTGACTTAACAGAAACAAAATATTACAAGCTTTTCATGTGTGGTTACAGTGCTTCCTGTTCCTGACGCAGCAACCCCCTGAGCCAAAAGCTGTTAGTATGGGAGGATTAACCTGAGAGGCTCACCTTACAGTCCCGGCAGCAGAGCCCGTTGCTGCACATGGCATTGTGGGTGAGGGTACACTTCTTGCAGCAGTTGGCCCCACTCTGAGCGCACTCCTAAAGGCCGCAGAGGGTTTGTGCAACATGAGAGCGGTGCAGTAGCATCTCACATAAGATTTGTAGTTTTTGTTGCTACACTTCAACTGAAAAATTCTGGCCTGATGAAAAAGGATTTCCCAGAAATTCCTCTGCAGTTGTTCTTACATAGCTGTTAATGTATTATTTTAAACCATTTAAAGGCACTCACCAATAATGATCCACAGTCACATTCTTCACCTATCTCCACAAATCCGTTTCCACACTCTGGCGGATCTAAGAGCTACAGAAAAAAACACACATATGCAGTCAATTCGAGAAGATCTTGTTCCTCTGAAACATGCTATGGAGCCTGAGTGATATACAGCCATCTGTCACCTTCGTTGGCTTGTTGAAGAGGCAGCTCCCTCCTCCCTGTTGGAGGAATCGCAGGTACTCATCTATGCTGCAGCGGGAGAACTTCCTAGGTAGGTAATAGCTGGTTGATGGATACAAAGCACTCAAATCAACATGACTTTAAACCCTCAAATCGAAAATTAAACATAGCAAAAAGAGGATGAATCAAACTCAAGTTCATTTAAAAATTCTATCAAAATCCGTGGCCAAATTTACTTATTTTAAATAGCATCCATACCCTGTATCCTCCATGATGCAGCCTAGCCACGGGTCTGGGCACCTGCAGCCGCCTGGACACACAAAACATTTCTGTGGTCACAAGGCATACATTAACACACATGCTGCAATGTTGTAATGCCACAAAAACAATTAAGAAAGTGACAATGAAGGATAAAAAAAAAAAAGAAAATTCAACACGAGTTCTATGGTTGAATCAGCAGGGTGCCGTTATAGTCTTGACATTGTTTAAAAGACACTGCTGTCAAGACGTTAGTAAGTCATTTGTTAGGGAAACTTGCCACTTGGCTCCATCTGTTTCTGAATCACTATCATTCGGCTCATTTAATCTCACAGAAGGTTCCAGCTATCGTCAGCAAAGCGTTTCACCTGCAGATGTTCGCTCCTTGTTCCTGAGCATCCCGATGTTCTGCCCAAGACTCTGGCACAGTGTGATGGCCATTGGACCCATAGTGCCAAACTGGAAGATTACAAACACATGAGGTTAAAAAGAAGAAGAGGAAGAAGATCCTAGGAAGAAAGCTTTGATTACTACAACTACTCACTCCTTAGTCCATGTTTTAAGCAGTTACAGAAGAATGTTTTTTAATATTGGAACAGTCACCTCATTGATGCCTCCACCCCGTGTCAGGGAGCATATGCCTCCGATATAAGCAGCCTCACTCCGGCTGCTCATAAAGGTTCTCCCACTGTGGGAAAAAGAGGGGGAATGTTTATAAAGCAGAAGAGCATAATGGATTATGACAGGGGTAATGAAACTATGAATTAACCCACGAGAAGAGGTGCACAGCATCACAGCGTTTCTTAATGCTCTCCTTCCTGTACTTCATAAAGTCTCGCAAGGTAAGCAAGGCGTCCTCGCCAACAGCAATCTTGTTCTCTGACGACCAGGTTTCCATGGCCACCAGGACTATACGAGTGTTGAGCTGCTCCTTGTAGATCTGGACACATCAAAAAGGGGTAATCAGAGAGCATTATGCAGCTGGTGAGGAGCTGGAGCTCACATCCCTTGCTGGTAAACCTTCACATCATAGCATGTCACCATAGAGATCACAAAAACCTGACAACGTTAAATTTGGAGGAGATTATCTACAAGTAATTTGCACATGAAGTGGCCTCAAATGTCCGGTGACATGAAGAGCAAATTCAGAACAAAGAACGATAGGGTTTTAAAACGTGAATAATTTTGATATAGAAAATAGGGCTTCCAGTTCACACATGTAGTGTTGACAATAGTATCCCATTTTCCACTGAAGGACAGCTGGTGAAGATACAAAGCAAGAACAAAAAACAAAGACTGTTGGGGAGCAGACAAGTGGAAAACAGTGAAAATAACAGAGGGGTTTTCATTTTTATGAAACATCAGCTCTAGTCTTAGTCTTAGGTTTAAGACTAAGTTTAAGGTGCAACACAGTGCATTCATTAAATCACACAGGTGATTATGAACACTGAATGTTTGACTGCAAGTTACATTTTGGTATGATTTTCCAACTCAATAGCCTTCCTCAAAAGAGAAGGCGATGCTACAGGTGAGGACTTAGTCTCATTTTATGAAATCATGCATGCAAGAGCAAAAATACAAAGAAAACTCTTGCTATTAACACAGCAGACAAAAGAAGCTGTGGTGAAAAAAAAAAGACTGAGAAAAAAGATATATCCAATTTATTATCCATTCATGTCCACATTCATGTCTTATATCCACAGATATAAGAAAATCATATATATATATATATATATACACACACGACAGATTTATTTGATCACTGCACACAGTGGAGACAGTTTTATCTGTGCACTTTAACAATGCAACGAATAGCAGCCTGTTTCCATGGGAACAAAAGTAACTGTTTGTCTCCCATCAGTAAGGGGTCTTCCATGGTGATGCTGCAGCAGAAGACTCACACACTAACACGTCATTTGTCTGTTTTAGAGGATGATCCTATCCCATCAGCTGTATCACAAACACGCAGGAGATAGGTCATTAAATTAACAGAGCGAACAGCTGAGAGTGCTTTGAGCTGCAGTTGCTGTACTCCCTTTCTCCCTTAGTGTAATTTTTTTATTTTATTTTTATTTTTCTTAGCTCCAATCTGTTAGTGGTTCTGAAAAACAGTTTGCATTAAAACAAATTAAAGATAGACCAGCAAAATTCCCAATAATTGTTCAATTACATCTTTACGCATTCATAATTATGTTTTTACTATTATTTCCTTGAAACATGTAAAGATTATAATTATTTCTCTAGAGATAATGAAAGGATAGAGGTATATAGATTTACAACCTGATTTATTTAGAAATTTGTTTAGATGAATTGTGTGTGATGATTTGAATACATTTGTCTCTCACCAAATCTGCCATGTTCACCACTGACTTGGCAAAAATCTTCGTCTGAGTGGTTGACCGACGGAGCTGCACAAACTAACAAAAAGACAACAAAGAATGTTACTAACAGGAATACTTCTTTTGTGTAGCAGTTACAAATATAAAAAGAGCCATCTTCACACCCACCAGTTCGTAATCATTGACAATCATCAGCTCGATGTATTTGGTCTCAGTCTGGACAGTACGCGGGCCTGGCCTCGCCTGAAGGAGGCAAAAGAAAAGCACGGAGCCAAACGTTTGAGCCCGCTGAAATAATAACCTTCACATGCATGAACTCCATGCAGCAGCTGAAACTATTACTCATCCTGCATGATGCACACACACACACAAACACACACATACGCTGATGCTGATGAAATTTAAGTCTTTGTCCTTGAGAGGGGAACTTAGAACACAATAGTCACTTATTCATGAAGCAGAATTTCATATTTGAATAGATAAACCCGCAGTTTCCACGTCTAAAACAAATAAAATAACTTTACATATCCATAATGACTGCATGTAAGAAAAATATAAAGTTAGCTCATGTCATTATTTTAAATACACATTCCAGCCAAAGTCTATCGGATCCAAAAAGTAAAGCCCTGGCAGAGTGATGCCCTGTAAAGGCATTCATTCTCCAGCAGGGGCTGATACCATTCAATGTGAGGTGCTGGGTTGGATGAAAAAGAAATATAAAATCAAAACCTCTGGGGTCAGTCTGGCTGATCAGTCAGCTATTATGCCATTTACCAGTTAATATTAATGTCACTGACATCATTGACAGCTAAAGTGGGTGACACTGCTATGCTCTGCTGGGAGAACCTGTATCTTGGCATTTTCACTGATGCTACTTTGACTCTTGACACCAACTTAAACATTTGTGCAGGCCACACACAGCCACTGTTTTGTATGCATTGCAGAAATTGCTTAAGGAAGGATTCAGAAAACACCAAAAAGAGTCCAAGGTGTCGGGTAGGATCTGTGGAAAGTTATGTCCAATACACAAAGAACTTTCCAGGACAACTTTTATATTATTTGCTCACTTTGGATGACTGCTTATAATTCATGCTTCATAATTAAAGACTGACTTGTCTTTTTGAGCGTCTCAGGCCTTTTGTAAAAAGTGGTTTCTCCTCTTTAGACCCATTGTCTCCATCCTCCTGCCTCCCATCTCCTCCTTCGCTCCCATCTGTCCGCCCCTCAGGCTCTGTCCTGTTCAATGAGCAACCTGCGAGACACAGATATACATGAGAGTGAGACAGAAAAGTGACCAGTCATCAGTCCAGGACTGGGTTTAGGTGTATTTTAGTCCACCATTATGTAGAAGAGATCAATATCATGCTGCCAGTAGTTGAACGAGCAGGAAAAGTGAGAGTCACGGATGAGGAAGCAGGGACTTAAAGGAGGCAGAGGGGAAATGGATCCTGAGAGGCTATGAAGTGGAGGGGGAAAAGTGGCAACCATAAGAACATTTAGCAAGGACGAGAAGGACAGACGGACAACCTGAGGAGGACACTGTATTGAAGAGTGTGACAAGAGCAAAAACTCAATGAAACAATGTTGGGCTGCAGAATATTTGATTATCTCAGCTCAATGTCAAGGACAAGGCTGAACAAGAGCCTCTGAAAGTTACAGCCCTGGAGTCTCAGTGGCAAGCTGCGTCCTGTCAGCTTACATCAAAATCTCTATTAATCAGACACCATATGCTGAAATCTATTTCTGCATGGCTAAATTAAGCGTCATATGTTTAACAAACCCCTTAAATTAACATCTTACAAGATTTGTGCACGACACGAATGCCACTCAGATTTAATTGTCTATTATTTAATCAAGATAGATATCATAGAAAAAATTCCAACTGGAGACCTACCTGGACAGGGAACTGGGAAGAGGTCAATGGCGGGCATTCGATATACAAAGTGGTCACTTTGCTGCAGAACAAAATCAAAATGCAAGCAGAAAGAGAGCGGAGGGAACATGAAAGGATGTACTTTTCAAAAACTAAAACTTAAAGAGTCCCATTTAGGCAATCCGGTACATTTGGATGGATAGTAACATTATTTTTCAGATGCTCAAACATGATGAACTTGAAAACAGCATTAATTAGTTTATTTCGTTTTTGGCTTCTCTGAACTCTTATCTTAAAAATCACATTACAATCTAAAAATGCTGACTCAGAGCAGCGCTGCATAACTATGTCTATTCACTGGTTTTCTTCACTTTTTTCCTCTAAAGCAGAAAAACAGTTGGAACAGTATTTTCTCCAGAACACTCCAAACAATTATTTGAGCAAGACAGATCTATCTGGGTCTCACATGTTTATAAAGCTATTCTTAACGGTCCTCTGGCTTGTAATCGTAACCTTTAACAAAATGGATTCTCTTTGTCAGCATGCAACGTATAACATTAATGTTTATTCTCATTAGTCTACATTCAAGAGCACGCAGAACAAAGGTCAGTGGGAGAGAGACCTTTAGATTCTCAGAGGATGTTTCAGTTTTAAAAGGAAAGGAAACTTATTTCAAGCATCCATAGAAATGCTAATTTGGTTAATCATCACAATATGGGAGCGGGGGGCTCAAAAAGCCAAAAAAAAGGCAGACCGATGGGGACGCAGATCAGGATTAATTTGAAAGGGAATGACAAAAGTGGGCTCTAATAGAGTTTAAGTGTGTAGATCTGATAGTCCAGGATTAGGAGGGAAGGGGATAATTCATCAGAACAAAAATGTAGCTCAATCAGAATGGTGGCATTGCCAAAAAAAAAAAACTAGTCATGAATTTAAAGACTTTGTAGCATGAAGGAAACAATGTCCTCTGTTGTAGAGACACTTCAGTGGGAAGAAAGTGCTTCAATGCATAATTAATCAATCACATGGCTGTCATAATGGCGGTAACACTGGACATGGTGGTACACTTGAGCTGGGGATAAATACTTTATGAAATGACCCAACGGAGATGGAGAGTCAGCCAGAAAGCTGGAGTGTGGGAGAGTTTTATGATGAGCTGAGAGGGTATTGATCCATCCATCCAGTCTATGTAACAGAGCTGTGCTTCGATTACTGTGGGCCCTGCTGGGAGAAAAAAGCTCATCCTCTTCCATTCTAAACTATTTCCTTTCAGCATTTTCAGTCACACTTTCACTTTTTAATTAATCCATTTGAATATTCATCCACCTCAATATTTTCCATACAACTAGATAGTGTAACATTGTCTGGTCATGCAAAGTGACAGCAGACAGGGAAAGGAGACACCTGCCTTATGAAGAGTCCAGCAATAGATATCTTTTCTTTGTTTTATAAGCCATGTGGTCAGGATGTGTGGATGCCAAGAAAACAACACACCACTTATCCAAAATAGATAATAGACCCCAGTGAAGGTCTCACTTACCTCCATTACCTCCCCGCGGCCAACAGGTTCAATCACATAAGAGAAGTTCCCATCAGAAAACATCCCCCTAAAACAAATAAATTACAAATGTGCTCACATTTTTATTAAGCAGTATGTTGCAAAAAATCTTGGTGAATCTCTTAAAAACATCGACTACCAGCATATCTTTTCAAACTAATCATAATTAATACTTGTCTTCAATAAAAAACAAACCATCCAGGTTAATGGACATATCCTATTAGGCTCAAACATATCTGGTCAATTCCAAAGCTTTAAAAACACTAGATTTAGCTTCCTCAATTAATCAAGAAAATTCACTAAAGTTTTGGACTTACTGCAGTCCATGGCAGGTGGACAAAGCAGCCCAGGACCCTGGAAGCCCTCGCACACGCCCATGGTAGTAGCAGTGCTCCCCTCCCTGAAACAAAACAGAGAGAGAGAGACACAAAACCCACCGTCATCCAGTAACATGTTCACGTCAAATTTCTGACAATGAAACCAGCACCCAGTGGGGACCTCTGGCCACTGATCTGCTGCCACAGGGCAGGTATTTTCCATCAGCCTGAAGCCTGAAGCCTTAAGCCAGCCAGGGGGGTTGACTGAAGGAGATCAGTGACCACTGGAAAACTTAGTAGTCTGGGAAAACCAAAACCGAAGGCTGCAGCAGAGGTGAGTTTCAGCAGGAAAAAAGCAGTGTAAAAAAAAAAGCAAAAAGAATATAAAGTCCACCCATTGTAATCTGAGTACAGTGTTTTTCAATCAGAGGAATTTCTGAAATTCTTTATTTTAAAGCAGAACATGAAAAACTGTCTCCGTGTTACACTGAATCTATACAAACGAAGTAAATCGTATAGGGATCGAACAGAATCTGTATCTGTATCTGCGCTTATAAAGAAATTCTGAATTCAAAATGCAGTACTTCATGTGTCATCAATGCAAATGTTGATTGAGTGAGATTATTTAGTTTCCAGCCCTCTAGTTTACTATATGCTAGCAACTGCTATGCTATACTAAAGCTATCAACAAAACTACCAGTGGAAGATAATTTGAGGTTATGCTTTAAAATACTTGAAAACAGTTACTACCACCAGGTGTAACAAATAGACGGACAAAAATAGATTAAATGTCAATTTTTAAAAAGTGTGTAGGCAAATAACTGGAAAAATGTCATTGAAAAAAATCAACCAATTAAAAAAGAATCACAAAACAGTGAGTGCACATGGTTGGTTCAGCCCTGGGATGGACCTGCATTGGTTGTACCATGTCTCTCGTCTTGGACACTTTGTTTTACACAATTGCACATCTAACAAGAGAAATCAATTTGCATACTTATACGACCCATTTGAGTAATGGGAAAGCCTCATGGTTGCATCTCATGTCAAAACGTTTAGCCTAGCAGTAGTCGGTTGCCTTAATACATCACTGCACTAGGGACTGCAAGGTCACTCTGCTGACAGGTTGATTGATGTGCCATTTCATCCCTAAATGAGAATGTCCGTAAATGCAGACATCTTTTGTGTGTAAAAAATTTCAGGAGATTCAAGCTAAAAACATCTTCATGAGCTATTTCAGCCAGTTAAGTCTTTTACTCATAGATAATAGGGAAATGCGATTATCTAAGAAAGTTTTCTTCATTATATACACACATATACATAAACAAACACAGACATAGATATTCATATAATTGCAATAAGGGCCAAGTAAAGTCACGGATGACCCTTCATGCTGTGCAATGCTGTCTTTGCTGGGTGAATGTCCATAAGCAAATGCTCGAACTGGTATTTCCAAAAAGACATCTCTGGACTAATTAATCAAACACACAACAAACCTATTGTAAAGGCTGATGAGTGTCTCTTTAAAATACAGTAAGTTCAAGCAAAGTGTGACGGAGTGACTGACAGTCTCAGGTGACACTTTCAGTTTGGCAGAGCTGCTGAGAGGTGTTACCTCGCCTCCGGATCCCTTCACCTGATTATTCATAATCCCCTGCAAGGCTCCAACTGGATGATCGAGTTTTGAATATAGTGTTTCAGTGTCGCCGCTCATCTTACAGTACAGGAACGATCAGATTACGACAATCTGAGAGGTGAATCATTACCATCAGTCAAACTCACGCATGTTTGCAACATATTTGAACTACAAATTGTTTGAAAAGAAATTAAATGCACGGCAGATTATGTTTCATGACCAGTGAAATTAGTCTAAATGATTCAACACTATAGTAACATAATTTAGATAAAAACTTACTGGAAATTTGTAGTTGCCAATAATTTGAGTGTCAGTGTGCGTAAGAGTCAATTTTCAGTTGATTGTAATGAACCCCTAATAAGTGTTGTCCGTCACCTGAGCCTGCTGTCGTCTGGCACAGATGACACACCACAAAGAAAAGACGCTGGCTGGACCTGCTGTTTTTCACGCTTGGTCAAAGTTTACTCAGAACTGGAAACTCACTCTCGAGATCCTGTCAAATCAAGTCTGCACATGCAAAAAGTTATCAAAAGTTATCATTCATCGGCTCTTTCATATCTTTTCAAGAGCACAGGACATGGAATATATAGGTCATCTTCACTTACCATCTCGCTTGTTATAAAATCAGCTACAGTACTGGCTTCATCACCAGATCATTTCAACTGATCTGCTCTAAACTAAATTAAATGGTCAGGTTTCAGGTTGTGAGAATTCCTGGAATTTCCTGATTGTCAGGAAGTACGTTGTAACCAATCCTCAAGTCAATCAAACACACACCTGAGGGAAAACTTACATGTTCCAAATTAAGAAACAACAATTTTACGGTATCTATTTTAAAAAAAAGACAAAAGTGGAAAACTCTCATTTCCAGTTAGAAAAAGCACCAAAAAACAAACAAAAAAAACTATTGGTACAGCAACCATTTTTGGAGGGGATTTTCTAATCCATAAGAACAATGGTCTTTAGGTTGAAGGTGAGGTTCCATGGTTTACAAATGCAGAATAATATGAACAGGACATTTCCTGACCTCATTTTAACATGTCTATTTATGTCTAAATCCAGTTTATCTGGACAAAGTGTAACATGCTCCACTTTCAAAATTCCCCCATGTGCCTCGTTCAAGTGGACCTCAAAATTGTAGGGCCGTTTCAGACCAACCCTGATTATGTTATGTCTTTTTAATCAGTACATATATATATAATTATTTTGTATTTGTATTAAACAAAAAAGTAGCAGATGCATTTTGTAGAGAAACACAATGACTTTCATCATTCATATTGAACAGAGAGACAGCCCAAAGCACTTAGCAAAGAGCAAGATAAATAAATAAAAGGTAGGATTACAAGGCTAAATGGAGGAAATCAAATTGCCTGACACAGCAGACACACACTGAAGAACTTGGTGAGCTTTTCAGAGATGTATGCACTACACATAATGGATGCTCACTCATGCAAATAAATCACGTTTTGTGAGAAATTGTGTATTAAAGGTGAAACATCATTAGTGACACATGAGCAGGACACTGCATTTGAAGTGAGTGACTGTTACAAGGAATAACAGACACTCAGAAATGGAGGGAACCAGACAGATATTTCCTATAGAAAAATGAGGATGGACTTTAACGAATGCAAAAGAATTTAAAAGGCTGAAAAGTTCTGGATGTTGGGCCTCAGCATTGTTGATGTTAAATTAAACAAGTTGAGGTAGGGAAATATGAAGGTCTAATGTTGGGATGGCAGTACTGTTAAAATACTCCGAAATTAGGTTAATTATTCTAGTATTTTAATAACAGTCAAAGTCACTGTCAACCAGGACTGTGAATATGGTTCCTGATACTTCTAGTCCATTTCTCCTATTAGCTGCGCGTCATTGAGATTCAATCCGAATGAGACAGTCACCAGCTCAGTGGAATGGCACGGGGACTCATAAAAAAGTGACACACAACAGCAGGGGTTTATTATAATACCAATAAAACTAAATAAGTCCAATTGGAAAAGGTGTTTGAGGAGGACAAGCAGGACAGCTTTATGCATCCTCATACAGTGCATATACACAATCAGTGTCAGTTTGCATCCATTCAGGGAGAGCTGAGAATTTAAATTAGCTCTGCATCTTGAATGAGATAGACATACATAATATTTAAAGAAACTGAATATCTGCAGAAATTTAAAGTCATTGCATTAATAAATGTAAACGTAAAACATCTGGCAATATGGACATATTGCAGGGGCATCCCTAAAAAAATAAGATCTTGTAACAACTAGTCTTTTCATCTCAGGGGATTCTAATAAGATTTTTTTCCATCTCCCCACATGGATTTTCGATCAGTTTTTTAAATGTTGGACAGATTCCTTCACTTTGGTCTTTGTGTTTTCCTCAATAAAACCTAGATGGAACTGGATCTTTAAAAATTATGATCGGTGGTTCTGAAACACTGGGAGGGAAGCCTTTTAGTATCAAAGCACTGTAGAGACGACACTCATAAAAGGAGATGAAAGGCCCAAAGTCCCATTGGACCCTTGCAGGTGCCTTAGAATCAGTTCTAAATCATATAAACGCTTCATAACTAATTAAACATGGTTTCTATCCCTTTTTTTTTTTTTACTTCAAAAGAACGTAAGACTAAAATGTAAAAGGGTGTTATTTACATTTCATTTAATAATAAATCAAATTCATTAATTTAAAAAACTCAATGGTTAGACTGGATTTATATATCCTGTTGTAAAAGGTCAAGGCAGGATGGCTTTTAGTCTTATCTGGAAATGGATATGATTCAAATTCCCCTCACGACGAGACCAAATAGACCTAGAGTGGTAATGCTGCTGACTGGTGGTTACCATGGCAGCCATCTACTGATTGGTCAGGTGTTTCATTGGTGGAAAGAAAGAAGACTGAAAGAGAGACAGCGAGAAAAAGGGATGGGGACAGAGACAAAAATAAAGCAGAGGATAGAGATTGAAAGACACCGTCTAAGAGGCTGCCTTCCTCTCTTGCCTGAGGAGGGTTCTTTTTTTCTTTTAACAAATGTATAAATCATAACAATAAGAAAGCAATATGAACAATTCAAACATAATGGAAATGTTTTTGTGTAGCTCAGCCCTTGTGAATTTATAGGACGAGTAAAAAACATAAAACGAGAATAAGATGAATAAAGAACAAATAAATACATTCCTAAAAGAATTGTACAGAGGACATGAACCATTATAAGGATCAGCACTAAGAGACTTTCTGTTCACCACATGTACATTTTTCTTCTTTTTCAGCCACTGCCAGAGAAATGAATGCTAACGTATTTTATTATGGTAGCAAAACCTGTCAAATTCAACAAGTCTACTTCTGATTTCTGATTTCTCATAAATTAAACAAGTGATTTCACAATGTTATTTTCATAATTGCAGTGCAACAGGTTGCAGCGTTGTGGCTCAACATGGCAACACAATGAAAAGCATAAAGCCAAATCATTTAGAATGGGTACAGAATTTGCTTTCTATTTCACAATCAGCCATTTTCCTGCCTCTCTACAAACCATTCATCGATTAATACTAAATGAATCTTAACAGAGGGGGTTGGAATAAGTCCCAGCTGATATGAGAAAGAGGTAAAGTTTGGAGGGCAGACATGCAGACTACACTTGCGTCGACTAAACATGTACCGTTGCTTTTTGCACAGCGCAAGAATGTCAAAGCACCGTGTATGTATGAGCAGAATATAAAGCCTCTGTCCCAGAAAGACCTGGGACAAGCTCCCAGTTTGTCCACAAGTTGTTCAATCTAAACAAAAACCAGCTGTGCACGCTGCACATGGCAGCCAGAGAGGGTATCTCTTTGCCAAGCAAACCAGCTGATGTGTATTCTTCACTGCTCAGACCTCTGCGTGGCTTCATGCAACTTGACAAAAAAGGATTGTTTCAACGAACCTACCATATTCTCTGATAGCTGGCCGTTGTCAAAGTGTCGCTCCACATAGTCCGTAGACAGGAGATTGCTGGATAGAAAAGACCAAAAAAAGAGAGCGATGGGGGTGAAAGATACAATGAAAAGTAAGGTTAAAGTCAAACATTTCCATATCGGAGTATAAAAATGCTGCTTTAGGGGGCTGGACGTGTGAATGCCACACTTACTGATTGAGTTCAAGGTCAAGGATGAAGGATGTGCCAAAGGCCTTCACCAAGAAGCTGCTCTGGGCCAAGTGAATGGGCTGAAAAAAAGATAGATGACCACTTTTAAAGATCATATGGTGAACTTCTTGGACAGAAATGATCCTTTCTCATTAGGCAGCGGGGTAGCATTAGGATCTAGTAGAAGTCATGTTGGAAAAATCTAACACTTGCTTCGTTATGTCCTGCTCAGTGCCGTTTCAACGCTCCATTTTGTTCACCATTAACTGACGACTTAATCTATGTGCTGTGAGACCTTTATGGAGCTTTTTCCACACAAACTCACCATCTCCGATTCACAGGTAATAGGAAACTTTTAGGTCAAAGTCTCTCTAATTAGTTTATTAGTTTATTAATTAGTTTTAAGGTTCTGTGGAAAACAGGCAGTACCAATGGGGAAAGTCCTGGTGCTGTAACAGCCCAGCACCGCATATTATTTTAAAAATGATAAATGGTTTATCAGTTACTCATGTTGCAGGACAGCATCCATCTCTGACTCAAACCAATGACTCTGTAATTTGTCAAGCATGTCAAGCTTTCAAAGAAGTGAGAATGAGGTTGTAAAAGAATAACTTGACAGAATGTGATGAAGACAGGCTGGAGGAGTAGAGAAAACGTGTGTTTAATATGAATGCTTTGACAGCGCGCTTCACAGCGAAGGCTCTGATGATAAAATACGTCCTCCTCCAGTGACCCCTCTTAGGAGGCGAGGCAGCTCATCCATCCAAAAGGCCTCTGGAGCCAAGTTTGTGCCAGGGCTCATCGTGCAAGTCCAACTTTCTGGGTCAGACTGCCCAACATAAGGCAGAGTTCTGTGATGGATCCCAACTTCAAGGCTCATCTAGCATCACTATACTGCAATCTTTGCACACTCAAGATAGTTATTTATTTTTAAAAGTTGTTTGTATACATGAATATGTCATTGTTTTTCTCAAGTTCAAAATATCTCTATGTAGCAAAACATATCTTATGTAGGTAATATTGTGAGCAAATGTCTGTTAACTACTGTTTAGCATAAGGTAAGTGAGAGAGTAATACCTGAAAACTGATTGTATACTAAATCAGGGCTCGGACTTCAAAATGTTTAACTCACATGCACTTTGACTCTCTACAGTTTGGGGATGTAACACTACTGTCATAAAAATGTTATGCTGAAAAAATCTAAACAATTGTCATGCTGGATAGAAATAGAAATGCTGGATGCAGGGGCAGAGCCCAAAGTTATACACTGTACCTCAGCATCTTGGGCTTTGACAGATGATTCAGGCCCAGAAACGTACAAACTAAAGGTCAGGGAACGGCAAGATGAGTCAGACAGGTAGTTTTAGGGTCCCAAACTTCTATTTCCACTTTGACAATATCTAAACTGCAAAGGATTTCACTGTCGAAATCAGTTCAAGTTCCATGGTTTGCCCCATGATTTAGACAGAACTGTGGTCCACAAAAACTTTTTATTTTTATAAACTTCAAAGTAGAAATGCACTATTTTGTCTATTAAAACAGAGCACCGGGTTTATTGTCATCCAGTATAGAAAGGAATGTGTTTACAATTAATTTCTAATTTCTCTTCTGGCAGACTTGAACTTCCTTACTTCCATTCCAAAGGGGGGGGTGAGAACGGCAGAATGTGACACAAACACAGAATGCAGTATAAACCATTAAATCATTCACAGTTAAGCACACGACCATTTAACAGGTTCAAAGTTGGATCAAACAGATAACACATGACTGAAAAACGTACACTGAATTTGTAAATGCTTTTGCATCACAGGCCATAATTAGGCCAGGGGAATATGAAACATAAGGTCAAAAATGACCTGCTGTTTCCACCCCCCCAGCTAAATTCACGTGCAAGGGCTCCTTCAGTTTCAGAAAAGAGGCCACCAGACGATAGGCTGAGCAGAAGGGCGACTCAGGGTCAGACCTTTGTCATATCCACTGACCAGGCGGCCAGCTGCTGGCTGCCGGTGTTCATAGGAAAGGTAAGGGGAGCCGACCGGTAGAGGTGTGAAATATAATCTAACGGGATGATGAGGAGCAACAGAGCGCAAGGGGTTCTGCCCTTCATAGTCAGTGTCAGCTGGCTGTCATGTGTAGAGAACTGTGGCATTACCAGATGAGCCCAGGGCAGAGCATCATATGTGTGTGTGTGTGTCCTGTATGTAAACAGGCCGCACGCATCTGTTGTACAAAAAATGGCTAGTAACAACAACCTGGAAATTATATTTGTTTGAATGATCAATTCCTCATAATTACTTCACATATAAACCCTTCTAATCCATATTCCTCTTAGTTCACATTGATTACATGTCTCACAGAACATTAGGGTTTAAGTCTTCATAAAGAAAAAATGAAGAAGCACTGATAGGAGGATGGACATAGAGGAGTGCTCGGCTTAAATTATGCCCTGATGAGTCTCACCTGGGAGCCGGCCGGGGCCGTTTTGACCCGGGTGTCCAGGTGGCTGTGCAGCAGCTCCTCCACAGAGTGGGTCTGGAGCAGCAGCCGCTGGGGCTGAACGACCTCCTGCTCCCCCTCCTGCTCTCCATCCAGCCTCCCCCGAAGCCTCGCACCTTCGGAGCAGACGACAGGCTCAGGCACAGCTGAATTAACGGTTGGCGGTTAACCGGAGAAACGTCAAAAACGTTTCTCGCCGTCTCCTCGTAGAGGTCACCGGTGCCACGGGGGTCCCCTCGGCCAACGCAGCCCAATTCAAATGTGAAATTTCAAATTTCAACGTTTTAGTTTTGAAGGTCCAAAGCTAGCCGTGGCAGAAAGCGCGCGAACGCCTCTTACCTGTCCCGGCGCACCTTGCCCAGGCTGCAGCGAACAGCAGGCATCTCACAGCCAGCATGATGCTCTCATAGTCCCTCTGATTTATCCGCTGTTGCGCCTTCAGACGAAGCCACAGGAGCTGCGAGCGGAGCCGCGCGGCTGTTGACCGGGAGGACAAAAACACAACAGCTGCTTTCCCTCAAAACGCGACGCCCACATTTCTCACCTCATGTATTTTTTGTTTTTTTTTTTGTTCCTGGGCCGGTGCGTTTGAGAAAAAAAAACGTGGAACGAGGTTCCTGCTGTCTGGTCTAAAAGAGCGCGCGCTGCTCTGGCAAAGCGCTTCGACAGGGAGGCTGCGCGAGGAGCCGTGGGCCTGGAAACAGAAGCACGTGGGGGTGGAGGAACCCACCTCCCACAACGTGATGAGACCCGATGGGATCAAAACACCTGCGAGTAGCACACTAACTTCACACGGATCACTGCTTGCGTCCCAACCTCTGAGGACCTTTTCTGTTCACCAAATGAAAATGTCTTCTCTTCTGACATTTTCACACATATTGTGTGAAATTTCACATTAAAAATACCAACTATCTAAAACAGATTCCCTTGCGCTACAATGATTTAATCCTCTTTTTGGTACATTTTCACACAAATCACAGCAATCTTCTACATTTTCAAAATGATTCCCCATATTTCTTTCCACTCTTTGCACACACCCCATCTTTGGGTTTTGAAGCAGAATGGCGCACAAAGAGCCATTCTGCGGTTGTTCCAGAAATGTGATCTGCCTCACATCAGCTTTCACAACATGCCCCTTTATCCTCAAACTCCCCACATTCTTTCCACTTTTAAACAGAGTTGGCAGGAAAAAACAAAGTTAAAAGGACAGGACTTCCTTTGATTTAAAAAAAAGAAAAAGGTTAAAGTACAGCCAACCATTCATTCGATCAAACCCGCAAGCATGTACACAGGAACAGACACCACATATCTGATATTGTTCAGGCCAGCAGGAGGACGGGATGATGAGCCAACAGGACACATCAACCTGCAGCTATCCTTCCTTCATCCTTCTCATACCATTTGGCTCCAGCAAGCAAAGTCAGCAAGAAGTCAACAGGAAAAAAAGAAAAACATCTCTTCACTTAGAGGAAAACTTCATAATAATGAAAAAAAGCTTTTTATTAAACATACACCGCACAACATTTGACATATATATATTTCTCTTTGCAACAAGCGCATTTTCTGTACTAAGACACAGAGGTGTTTCGCTTTGTTCTCTGCATTCGTGTTTTCCGGGCACATATTTAAGGTTTGGCGGGCCATGAAGCTTTGGGACGCGCAGGTAAGCCTCTGCGGGGCTGGAGCACCTGCCTCTCTCCTTGACAAAGCTCATCCTTTTGGCCCACCTTCAAAGGACAGGAAATGCCATTTGGCATTATTCCGGCGGTTCGTCTCATGGCCGGTAGGTCCTTCACCCCATGAGCGCCTCGCCTCGCCTGTTTGACAATCAACATGGTCTCATGTAGGATCTGATCCAGGCGCAGCACTTACAGTAATTGAGTAATGACCCCTTTCAGAAAGGCCTCATTAAATTCTCAGTAGTGCTATGTGTTCCCGGACAGAGCTGCTGAACAACTGCAGTCAGCACAACATGCAGAATATTGCTTAAGGGGGGGGGGGGGTTCCTGTGCACGAAGAGGATTTGAAGAAGAATGTTCTTAAGCACACGGTAAATTCATGGAAAATGCAGCATCGACAAAGCTTTGGAAATATTAGTTCATGTTAAATGCTGCTGATTCCAGCGTTTCAGTGGGATCTGAGACGTAACACCAACATTTACAGAAGACTTGTTTTTAGGAGCTTGAGTGCTGCATAATGCAAAGTCAAAGGCTTCCAATGAGAAGCTCTTTTCAGAGAAATAAAGCAAGGGACAGGAGTCTTAAAAAGCAGCGATCACAACGGAACCTCAACAATCTGTACTACAGTCCAGGAAAAGGCTTCCGTGTCCTCCCTGCACAGGGAGGCTGGCGGGGTGGCGGGCGGGAGGACGGTGTGGAGGTGCGACTCGTAGCTGGTGTCGTGCATCCAGGGACACCGCCTGTGCAGCAGCTCTTTGTCCAGCTCGCAGTTTGACTCGGCGGGCGCCGGAGGAGCAGAGGTGGTCAGACCCAGGCGGGACAGGTCGCAGTCCCAGTCCGAGTTGGACAAGGACGGGGAGAGCTTGGCCAGGTCTGGGATGAGGGCGGGCTCGATGCAGATGGACGTGGAGTGGGAGAGGGAACGCTGGGAGTCCTGACTGGAAATCACAGTGAGGTGTGCTGATGTTAAGAGGAGGGTCCAAGCCTGCTGCTTTGGAGGCGAGCTGACATGGCGGCGGGTCAGCAACCCGGCCCACCTGACCAAATGCCCCAGAACAATCCTGCACAGCAGGAACGGGGAATGTGGGATGAGTCTGCTCAGGACAAGTCACATCGACAGAGCACGAAGGACGTGGTGCATTCAGGTCAGGACAAGGATCCTTGGTAAATACACGGCTCTGAACCGTTTCCCGGCTCTCACTGGGACGGTTTGTTTCGTTCAGCTTGTGCTCAATGTGCCCAAATGATAAAGTCCTCCGCCTTTTACGGTGTCTGTGCTCGGGACTTGCAGATCGACAGCGCTTTTTGGGATTAGATTTGACGGCTGATTGATGAGGTAGTGAACAAGATCTCCCCAGTGTCAGAGCTGCACTCTTCAAACCTCTGATAGAACATACGAGTCCACTGAATCCATCCAGACTCCTCGAGTTTGGTCCCCTCTCTCCCTCCGCATTGCTCTCAGGCACAGATCTAAATGGAGCCGAACAAGAAGGAAATGTAGACACACACTTTGTGAGGCTCATTTCATTCATTTGTCCTTCTAAAGTCTCCTCATTAGTGTACTTCTGAGGACTGAGGGTAGGGGGCTCTGAGCAGGGATCTGTATTGTAGAAGGAATATGGGACTTGTGGGCTGAGAACCGGAGGCAGGGAGTAAGGGTCCGGGAGAAGCCAACTGGGGCAGGGGGAGACCCTGTCTGCCAGATATTCCGGCTCACTCTCAGGTTGCGGTTTAAGAGTTAAGACAGGCGTGGCTGGACGTGGAGAGTCAGGCTGGACATTAGAGAAGCGGCAGTCCGCCTCAGCGCGGGAAGCCGGAGTGCCAGGAGGAAGAGCAGCTGGATTTGGGATGGCAAAAGCTGGCGATGGACTGGCTGTGCCAGCTAATCGGGGGCCTGAAGTCTGGCCGGGAACGGGAGTTTGAATTACTGAAAACTGCGTCTGCAGAGCCTGAACAGCATGCTCCGTCTCGACATCAGTCAGAGGCTCCAGTTCACACACATCATGGATCGAGAGAGGAGACGATAGTCTACGGGAAAACACAGCAATCCAGTTAGAAAGAACAAAAAACACTGGACAGAAAACTGAGTTCCACTGAAAAATCGCTCAGTGCGTCAAAGTTCACCTGCTCAGTGCGTCTTCTGATTGTCGACGTGGGTTTGGGCTAAATCCTGGAAGCATTTCAGACATAAGCTGATCCACTGCTCTGTAGTTGGAGGAATCCAGCACAAACGAGCGGTGCTGGTCAGACTGCAAGTGCTGCAAACACCAAAAACACAGACAAAACGTCAGGGAAAAGGATAGCCACCAACTAAACGAAACAAGCAAGCCTCAAAAGATTTCCACCTCCTCCAGATTGGTGAAGGCCTCCCGACAGCATTCACAGTAAGCCAGGTGCTTTTTGCGCGGCCGCCATGGCGATGTCCTAATCACCAAAGAATAAGCCGTTTACATAGCTAATGCAGCAATAAACAAACATTTTATCACAAGAATTAGACACTTAGAGGTGACATTTAGAAACAAGAAATGTAGTTTGTTTAGGTTATAATAATTTATAATAACCAATGAACCAACCTGGATTTGTTGTCTCTTTCCCCCATCTGTTTTTCAAACAGCGGGGGTGGAGGAGATTCAAAGGGACTGAATCGTCCCTCGTAGTACAGGGTATGAAAGGTCATTGACTGCATATGCAAAGGCTTGTATTTCCTGATTTCACAAAAAAGAAAAAGGCGTTAATCAAACATCAATGAAATAAGATGCATTTCAAACAAAGAATATCTTTCATAGCAATACTTGAGACTTTGAATTCAGTCAGTAATATAAAAAAAAAACTATAAAAAAATGCTTTAGCCATCAGCTGATGCATCTTTTATTCGAGAAAAATACTAACGTCCAGGGAAAGGCTTGTAAGCAATTATCCTTTTGACATCAACCCCAGCTCAGGTTCTATTCGTCCTGGGTGCCATCATTACCCAGAGCACTTCAATTAGTGCGGAAGAGAGGGCAAATAAAGCAGGTCTGTTAACACATGGAGGTCTCCTGCAGGACGAGGCAGTCTCGATCCAAAAGCCTCATCAAAAAGAAATCGAATCTGCTCGATCTCCGAGTTCCTGGGGAGAAACTCCGCTGGGGGTGTTACTCGTCACATTACAGGACGGTACTTCTTAACAGGTTCAATTAAGAAAATCAGCTTGACTGAAATGAATACCTGCGGAACTAGGGCTGACTGGCTGGCTGGGGGGGGGGGGCAAACAGCACATAGCTAGGAAAAAAGGGCTCTAATGTGATACAGAATAAATATTACATGAGCCAGTGAATATCTTCAAAAAAGAGAGGGCTTTTTGGAATATATTTTGTATTTCAGAGCCAGAAACGTCACCAGAGAAAATAAACCAAACACACTGGATGAGAAACAAACTCACCAACTCAAGTCTTCAATTTTCAGAAAGGGAGACCTCAAAGCAGCAGCTATCAGCACAGAGAGGACAGACAAAAGCATGATTAAATCAGCCCGGATGTGGGATAATGCACAAATGGAAAACAGAATCTAACCTTTCACCGCAGGAGAACCTTGTTTCGTGGAGGTTTTCTGCATAAACACACATAAGAGATTTTACAACACATTTTTAGATATTTCTGCGTCATTTTAATGATGAATACTTGCACTGAATCATTTTTGTTCTTTAAATATATTTGAAAATCAACCTTTTTAAAAGTTGCTTAGCCTAGAAACTTACCTCTGTCCTCTTGTGTATGGCATTTAGACTCTCTCGAGTTAGCTGTTTCAGGTATAAGAGGGCATCTGAGAGCACATTAAGGAACAATACATGATTAAAAAACCAAAAATTAAAATAAAGGATGAGCTTTAAATGTTAAAATCTGCAGTCCTTTCCAGGTCTGAAATAACAATGTCTCATATTTAAGAAATCCAGTTCCATTTTCCACGAAAAGAGCTTATCAACACTGGTGCCTCTTCTAAACTAAAGAAACATTACAGGAGTGCAATATTGAAATCTTGGCTCACAGCACAGATAACAGAATGCTTCAGTGGGAAAGAGAGAGCAGATCATAACAAATAGAGTAAACATTGTGCCATCTACTGTTAGCAGAGGCTCACTACAAGCACACGTTCATGCTGGGAAAGAGGATACCATCAGCATACAGGATCCTCACTCCCCACGATCGAGCGTTGGACAAAACGTCGTTCCCTTGCAGACGCTCCTACAACACAGATCCAACGGACACATGCAGCAAAAAGGTGGAGCAATCAGAACATTTCTGCGATCCAAAACACGGTGAACTATAGCTTGTTTGTTTACCAACTTACATTGTTGCAAATAGCTTTTTCAAGCAGAGCCTTTCCCCGACTCCCACAAACCTGCAAAGACAGAAGTCTATCAGCTTACCACTTTAAACGAATCCTGAAGTGAGACCACAGCTAAATCTGAAGCCCATTTTTCAAAGACTAAACTTCTTAGGTCAGGCTGACCGCTGTGCTCCAGCAGTCACTCCCTTTGATAGTTTACTACCTACAGAGGGAATTTGTCTGCAGCTTTCTACATCCCTGAAAGCTGGGGTTTCCTCAAGGTTTTTTGTGCTAAAGTCAAAAATAGAAAGATGTTTTCTGTATTTTTGCTCATATGTACAGATGCAAAACCTTTTAAATCTGTGTAAGTAACTGACCATTGCTCTAGAAGCTCCCGGCTTAATATTTCTGAGGCCACTCTCTTGTTTATTCAGATGTTGTGTTTCATCACTCGTCTCTTTAGCCTCTTCTTTGGTACCCACACTCTTCTCCTTCAGGCCATTTTGGCTGCCAGTTACAACAAAAGTCACGTCCTTGTGGAGGAAACTTTCTACCTTCTTCAAAAAGAAAAAACAAACAAACAAAAAACATGATCAATTTTGGCTAAATGAGAGAGAATTATCTTTCCATGATCCAAACATGCTCAGAATTTATGTCATCATCACTTACTAGGCCATCACTTGTACTTACCCCCCCAAAAAATGATATGACCTCCAAAAGCAGGGATGTTGAGCGTTTCTTAACATTGTCCAGGTAAAAAGTCTTCCCCTCAAGCTTATTTTGTCCAGTAGAGAGTCTACCAAGAGGCCCTGGCTCCCTAGAAAGCTGCTGAGGCTGCATGCTCTCTACGCAGTAAGTACGCTCACAACCTCACAGCGAAACCCCAGAAATCTACAAACAAAAAAAGAATATAAAAAAAGAAGAAAAAAGAAAAGCTGACTATGTAAATTAACATATGCATGTCACTGAAAGGAAATTCAAATACATCCTGTAAGTATCAAACGAGTTGTTAGAATTAAGTCAAATACTCCTAAATGAACTACAGTAGGAATCCCAAGTTACATTAAAACCTACTCCAACATTTTTAGGGTAAAGGTATACCCAAAGATCTAACATAATCCAGAGTAAAAAAGTAACAATAACCACTTATATTATTTATTACAATGTACTTGATTAACTGAAGGCTGATTCAATCGTTTAATTGAATACGTTTGCTTTTTTTTTTTTACAGTGGTATACAAATCGCGACATACAATAATGAATTTCTGTTTTTTTGCAATGAAAAGGATATTACAATTAATATTTTGTACTCATAACAACAATGTGACAACGAAGCGTTACTATGTCCCTATGTCACCAAACTACATATGTCCAAGCCTACTAGAAAAGGGGCTAACTAGTTCACTTTAGCTAACCTCAGCTAGCTTAGCTTCATTTGAACCAGGCAACCGCTGAGCACCTGGAAAAGTTCAACGCTAGCTGCTTTTTATTATCTTTCCCATACCATTTCGTCAGGTTTCAAGTGAGAACGTCTATCCACTTACGTTCAGCTGATATCTAAAATACTCCGACACAGAAAGTGATGCTTCAAATTCATCAAAATCTCATGGAGACTCAAACCGCCGCTTTTTAAAAACACTGGCAGATGCGTAAACGTGCTCTCTACGTCACATCCGGCGCACAGTACTTATTTGCGTCTTCAGATGCGTTTTTCTAAAATAATTATTCCATAGTTTTTCCAAGTTAGTGTTTCTGTAACAGTGCTCATTTTATTGGTAGCATATTACCAATATGTGTTTAATTTTAGAATGTGTGTGTTTTTATGGAGCTAATATGATATAGACTGAAAAATCAGTCTGTTTGTGACCAGAAATCACTGGCGAATAAAATTCTATGTAATTACATATCAGACACTTCATGGTTTTAATGTTAAATAATTTCAGTTTTCAGGATGTGGAATAATTTATATATGACTTAAAATATTATGCAAACTAGAATAGGAATGGGCAGTCACATGGTGAATAGCCCTACTGTCATTTATATTTAAAACTAAAATAATTGTTATTTTTCTTTCCATAGAAGACAAACACAATAAGACAAATACAAAGTCTTTATTCAAAACATGCACTTTTTGTTTAAACACGTAAAAAAAATCTGTCACACAAAATGAAACAATGACAGTGCACATCTAAGTGAATTCTTTAAACCAGGTCCCAATCAATACAGCTTTTTCTTATTTTACACAAACTACTAAGCAAAATGGCGGAAGAACTCCTGCTGTGAGAACATCAAGCAAGAACGTCATTCAAATAAGAAAAACATTGATAACTATGTGAAAACCGATTCAGGTCTGTAAATATTTCCATGTACAGATATATGTGACAGTCTAAACATAACTGATTAAAAGTGTCTTTTCTGTCTTAGGAAGACTAAGAAAAACGATGTTAAACGAGTAACTTGAATGTCTAACGGAAAATACTCATTCAACACCAAAACTGGTTGTCTGAGAAAATAAAATAAATGTAATGTAATGGAGTTCAAGACAAGAACAGTAAGGTAAAACAAGAAAATAAACATTTCTTACAGATGCTGGACTGATTTTCCTGTTTTACAGACATTGGTGAAAACATTTTGTGGAAAAAAAGTTTTTCAGATGTTGAAATGAAGTAATGCCGAGACAGTTTAAAGCAGCTCAAGCTTTTGAAGAAAGGCACTTCCAAATCCAGCACAGAACTCAGAAAATAAGAAGCAACTTTGCTGCAGTGGTTTTGTTTGTTAAGCAGCAGGTTCATCTTTTTTGTTCTTGTACTCTTCAATGCAGAACGCTCGTGGTGGAAGGGGGGCATGAACTTTAAAGCACAAGCCAAAAACTACTGCAATGTGTCCTGAAAAATTTGAGTTTATCCCTGAAGTGGAACAGCTTGTTTCAGGACAACTTTATTTGAAAAAACAGATTTTCAGAGCTAAAAAGACATTAATAAAGATAAGCTCTGTCCATATTTAAGTAAACTACCGTTCGATTTTGCATTAAAGCCGATATCTAACTGTTACCTGCATGGACACCTTGGTCTATAAATGAGTAAGAAACTGTAAAATGTGGGCTGGTGTGAGGTGGTTCCTTGGATTCTTGAAATACTGGCTTTAGTATCACTTTAAAAAGTGTGAATTAGTAGCCCTGTTTCTTTCTGTACACAAATGTAAATAGTGAGTGTCTCTATAGTTTGAAAAGCTTTCAGATCCACTCGGAGCCCTTTATTACTCCGTACTTGCTGCTACTGCTGTTGACGCTGCTGCCCCTGTCAGTGCCTGCCTTGCTGGAGGCGTGTCTGGAGGTCTGCCGGTGTTTACGTTCACGGTTGGGCTTGCCGTGGTTGTTACTGTGGTTCTGGAGCTGGCTGTAGGCCTGATTATCAGCCTTCAGCTTGTTCTGTGACTGAACAATGTCCTTACGAGCACTTCTAGGAGCATCTGCCCTCCCAGCTCTGCACAGATTCTCATCATTATTAGTGTGCTGCTGACGCTCCTCTTGGGCAATGTTCACGTGGTTCTGCCGACATGTGATCTTGGCGTTAGAGAGATCGGTGATGGGTAGGGGCGTGTTGTGGTTCCCTTTCGACACCAGAAGAGGTTTGATGGCGATGTTATACCCTGGTGGGGCCGAAGGTGCATTCCAGGTAAAAGGGTAGCTGCTGTAATCCTCTCCACTCAGTGCTGTCTCGCTGAGAGCCCCATTCACTCTTGTGAGTCCGTACTGCTCGTCATCAGGGAGCTGCAGCCGGCGGGAGTGCAGCATCTCACAGATGGTACCAATGCCTAGGTGGAGCATCTCCCATATATTGAGTATCAAACAGAGCAGGGAGACGGCGTACATGATGAGGAGGAAGATGGTTTTCTCGGTTGGCCGTGACACAAAGCAGTCCACACTATGCGGGCATGGCAGGTCTGAGCACACATAGTTGGCAGGAACTGCAAATCCATAAAGGGCATACTGTCCACACAGGAAGGCCACCTCCAGCAGAGAGCGGGCCAACAGCTGGAGGACGTAAATCCGCATCAGCCCATCCTCTTTGATACGATGGCGCCCGTCATGGCGGACTTTGTGTTTCCCTTGCCTCTCCTGGCTTTCCGCCTTTGCGGCGCCATCGCCGTCACTCTCCACCTCCGTCACTTCATAGATCATCGGATCTTCCTCGTTGTCATCCTCGGCCTCTTCTATGCCCCTGTGCTGCCTTCGGCCTGCAAGGTAGGGCTTCTTGGCTTTCCGTCGCGAATAACCGCTCACTCCCCCGCCAGACGTCTGCTCCTCTGCCCGAGCAATTTTGTTGACAGCGTAGCCCAAATACATAAGCGAAGGCGTGGCCACCAGAATGATTTGGAAGACCCAGAAGCGGACGTGGGAGAGCGGCGCAAAGGCGTCGTAGCAGACGTTCTCACAGCCGGGCTGGCCAGAGTTACACACAAACTTACTCTGCTCATCGTAGTAAATTGACTCTCCTCCCACCGCTGTCAGGACTATGCGGAAAACTATGAGCACAGTGAGCCAGATTTTACCCACAAATGTGGAATGGTTGTGGATCTCTTCCAGCAGACGAGTCAAGAAACTCCAGCTCATGGTAGTGGCAACATACACCTCCCTATACACCCCTGTGGAGAGAGAAGACACTATTTACCTTTGGGGCATTACAACACAACTAAAAAATCTGATGGTTTACTCAGACCATTCCTGTGTGAGTTAAAGTTATTAGCAACAGAAATTATATGTTAGGACTTTCAGGCAACTAAAGGGTTAGCATCATAAATTCCTTTCATTCTTCTTTATTTTCATCACAGCCTTTTTTTCTCTTCATGTGCAACGAAAGCTGTTAAACAAAAAGATTTCATTAAAAAACAATGGTCCTCGTTCCCTGATTAGACTGGCTGAGTGACAAGTTAGGAATTGGTCTATCCATGTGGAAAACATAAACAGCTACTGTTGGAACTGCTTGACCAAATCAGGTCAAACTACTAGAACCTCTTTGTGGCTGAATTCCATTGTCTACCAGACAAGCTGCAAAAATGGAATCCTCAGTTGGATTTATCACAAAAAACATAAATCAACCTGCAAAATTTGTTGCAGGTTGATGCTATGTCCTCATATACTGCTATGAACTGTAAGCTCTTTAAGAAGTTTTGTGTGGCATGACAGGTTTATACCTGGAGTAAAATGTCTAGGTCAGGCTTAAAAGAATAAAAAATTATTAAAAAGGCAGCTAAAATACAGCTGATGTCCACCCACGGATCTGACCAAACAAATGGCCTCATATTTCTCCAAAAACCTTCCTTCTTACAGCAGCCTGAAATATTTTTCCCATTTAAAGACAGGGAAAATATCACTCCACATGTTAGAGGAATTCTATTACTCTGTCAAGAGAAAAAAACAGCATTTATTCTTTTCTTTTGTGTGTCTCCTGTGTCGTCTCTCCTTTCCAAACGGGTCCTAACTCCCCTCATGTTACACAAAGAATAAGTACACTGTGTTTTACAGTACAAATGAAGGCGCCACACACTCTTCCACTGTAATCACAAAGTTTTTTTTTAGCTACTGTCTGTTGGCATGGAACGGTATGAGCTCTTTGCTGCTGTGAACAAGGCACACCTTTCTCTAAACAAACTGTCACACTGATTTAAAATGACACAGGCCAGTGCTTTCCCACAAATGATACACAAATAGTGCATTTTTTCAATATACCAGCACAGTGGTGTTCCTCCACTCAAGATGCTGGACCTTTAATATCTAAACAAACCTTCAGCATGAGCATACAAGTTAAACTGTAGTACAATAATTTCTACTTAATTTCTCAGATAGTTTTGGACACCTTATTAGCACATGAACTATTTAACGTGCATTTTCGCTAAAACAAAACATCCCCCGTAAAACTTTGCAGCCTCAACTGCAAAGTACCAGTGGCAAATTCATGAAAAACCCTAAATTGACATTTCCATGCATAAATGGAGCTTTTGGTGTTTATCAAATATGTCCTTCAGTGAACTTGATGTTCACTTACTGCAGTGTTTGACCTGAAGAAACCCATCTGCTCAGTCGAGCAGAGCACTCATCTCACACAGAAAATTACAACGGGATGGATGATACAAAAAGAAACACCAAACCGTCAAATCGGCATCATTTCAATCAGCAGTTGATTAGCATAACAACTGAGGAGTGTCTTACTAAAAGTAAGGCAATGCTGGACTGTTTTAAAATAGATCCAAAGGGCAGATTGATCAAAAAGCCAACTTATAGAACTTCTGATAGCACGTTGATGTGCTGAGCGAGGGGCTGGGCTTGTTTTCCACGATGCCAAACTCCTCTAACCTCTAATGGACTGCCTGTATCACTGAAGATAAAGACTGCATAAGCAGGGTGGCGCACAGCTGCATTGATACCAATGATTCCAAGTGGAAATGGCTTCTGAGTGCGGTTAAAAAAAAGGTTCCGGCGACCCGCAATGAAGGATTTAAAGTGGTGTCTGACTCTGTCTTCGGAAGAGTCGCGTGCTCTTTAGACTGTACATCTGGCTGCGTTGTGTAATGCACCATTTGGAGGGCCAGTGGCACAGCAACTGTATCACCACCCAAACACGAACCCCTCTGAACAGAAAGCCGGATACTCTTTCAAACTCTTAACTTTCAGCTTATCATTAGAAAAAAAAAAACACTTCGGCAGGGAATGGACGCAGTTGAAAATCTTGCTTCTCTGAATCCAAAGTACCGAATTTTGCATTTCTTTCATAAGCTTGCAAACAACTTTTAATAGTAGCGTTTCAATGTTTCTTTCTTATCTGAGCAACTCACATGATGTTTTTGCACACAGGCGACAGGAAAATGTAGTTTTATAGTCCTGCCTTGTCATCAACTAACATGGATGAGATGAGGAGCTGGGACAGGAGGAAAGACGCCTGACTCCAAAGCTCATGGTCGAGTTCAGGTGTAAAAGTTGGATCTCTATATTATCATTTATTCCTTTTAAATTCAATTTATTTAATTTTTGTACCAAGGCCTGCAACTTCAATAATTATATATGGGTGACATTCGGAAAAAAATGATTAAGCATTAAAATACCCATTCTTCTATGTTTAAGTGTTGCCATGGTGATTTGTAACTTTCTCTTGTAGTAACGCTTTTAATTTTAAGGCAAAGGGTTTTCAACACCTTCTGGGTGATTTAGATGACTTAACATTATGGACTGTATTGGGTTGGATTAGAATCAAACTAAGGTGTAACTTTTTAGCCTACATATGGAGGTTTAATTTGTACCCATGCACAAAAAACCAACACGTCGGGTTTAAATAAATGTTTTTGCTAAATCATGCCGATTTAAAGTTTAAGATCTGATGCCGTGATAAAGACTCCTTACTGGTCTTACTCGTCAAAGGAGTTTAAGAAGAGGTTAGAAGTGAGTGGACTGCCAGATCTTTGCTGTCTGATGTGTGTCACACGGCGGGAAAAGGCTGCAAGACATGACAACAGGAGATGAGAAAATGGTAGAGCACAATGTTAGCTTTCTTGTTCATTTGCCCATATGAAAGAAACAATAAATCTTCACTACTTAAAGTAATGCAAAGTTACCATTTGGACTGTGCTGTTATTCACATACATTCACTGCATCCTCTGAATTGCAAACTTCATTCTAGGAGGTCCTGCTATGCCTGCCTATTGTTCTAGTTCTAACATGTACAATTCTTAAAATGATACCTGAATGTTATTGGGCGCAGCTTTTTACTGAAAAGTCAGCACAGAGCTTATTAACACACGACGCTGTGATGCTCGGATTAAAAGAGAGGAGTGCTCATCTGAAAGAGGCTGAACAGGGCCACACTGAGAGCCTGAGGGTGGCACGGCACGCTGTCTCCAGATGTCTCCTATTCTCAGACCAGCAGCCTCCTGTTTCTTACAGAGCCAGTAAAACAAAAATCCAGCTTTGTACAAGCCAATCTAAGAGGGCTTCAAGCTGTGAACATCAAGGTCTGTGGTTTCCTTCATAGCCGTAAACGCGATGCCCCACCAAAAGGCTATCTCTGACTATGGAACACTCACCAACAATTTACTTAAAAAGGCAACTGTAAAAGTTTGCTGTTTGCTGACACTGCTCTTTCAAGGATTTGGGTGCTCTTTTTTCCTCTTTTTTCTCTCATTTTCTTACCTTAATTGGAAGCACACTACTCTAAAGAAAGCTGATGTTTGTGAAAAAAGTGGAAATAAAGCAGTGGAAGACTTACAACACAGATTCCTGGTTGGAGTCCAACCAGGCATGCTGGAACCATATGGTCAGCATCTGAAATACAGCTAACACTCACCGCAGCATTTTACTGCTGCTTCTACGATGTGTGTGAGAGCCAAAACGCCAACTGCATCAGGAGCAACAAACAGGCTGCGGGCAGGCTTTAAGAAGGGATGATGAGCGACTCACACAACAAAGCCATGACAACAGCCCCCATACAGATGAGCAGGGAAGAAGATGTACACAGAGCAAAGACAAAATTAAGGTGAAGGACAAGAAAGTTTAAACTACTTCTCCACCAGAGGACACAACCAAGGAGAGGTGGTGAAACTTCTTAACAACGGGGGATTTTTTTCCTCTTCATTTATCATCTGGAACTACTCATGAGACTAATTTATTACACAGTACTTTAAATCGTCTAGAGACTAATATAGTAATATTAAGTAAGTTCAACTGAATTAAATGGATGAATGATATCCCGTGGAACAGCCCCAAAAAACTCAAGTAACCTAAAATTTAAACCCAACCTTTTTTGACACAGAGCCCAGAGGATATTCTAGACTAACGATGTGGGCCATCCAAAGATGTTAAAACACAAACAATGATGCTGGACATGGAATTTAATTGGATTTAGACACCAGCCTCTAGCAATGGGAGTTAGGCTGTCTTCCTACAGTCTGTCAATAACAGTACAATCAGACTGCAAAAACCATCAATCATCTCACGCTACAGCAACATTGGTTAGTATTTTCAAAAGTACTCTTTCAGCAATTAGCCAATAGATGAACTCAGACAATATTCCATACGCTACTTTTGTTAATAAAATAAAGACCAATAGACATTTTAAACTCCTCCCGTAACTTCTCCCGTACATAGATTATGTCTCCAGGTATTTAAATTGTTTAAAAACAATTCAAATACCAGGTGTGTTAAATCTCAGCTTTTCCCAAAATGAAAATAACAAACTGCCCTAAGCACATGAACTAATTCAAAGAAAAATGGTTCAATATAGTTCCAACCAAATGAACTTGCTGGTTACCTCTGAGTAATACTTTGACTCCCCCCTCTTCTCCTCAATATTGTGGCTGGAATCCCGCAAGATTTCAATCCCCATCTGCCTGGAAACATTAAACATGGACTTTTTTAGATCGACATGGCACTGGTTATAGTGATTTCAACACCATTTTCCTTTTCTATGAGTGTCTGTTATTGAAAGCATTCACAACAGCTGGTCGTTCTGTCTTTGGAAATTAACAGTCATTATCATTGTGACCTGAACTGAAATTTGAATCATGATCTGAATAATTTTTGGCTTTAGTGCAACACCAAACTCTGACTCAACACATTCCAGGATACAATCAAGAGATTAATTGACACTGCCATTTTCTAATAGTTTTATCACACTTATCTAATATTATCAGAACTACTATCAATAACACCATTTACATTTCTGTAGCTTCAACTACAAAAATAAACAACTCACAAATATATACATATGAGACAGGATCACAATTTGGTCAAACAGGATCAAAAACTGATAAATTATTTATCCATGTAAGTGCTATGTTAAAATAAAAAACATAACTGACTATATACTTAATTATAATATATTTAAAACTTGACTTTTTGTGAAACTATTACTTTTTCTTGTTATGAAAACTGGGGCACTGGGGCCAGGTAGCTTTTACAATAACCAGCCAAGACAGCAGCAGCTGCCATGAAATGCATGAATAAAAACGACATTGTTTTCTGTCGTTTCTGTGACCAGAAACTAAATATTTGAATAGACCTAACATTTTTAAGCTATACAGCAGAGGTGGCTAGCATCATGCTAACAGTGGAGAGACGTTTACAAAGTTTCCAGTGGGTTCCATTTCTATTTTAGCCTTGAGAAACAAATAACGTATTGATCTGACAGAAGTTTGCAAATAACTATGAGTTACATTCATCGTGACTTTAAAATCCTAAAAATTAAAGACAAAATGTCAGCTGTCATAACCTCCAAGCACACGTTAATAAGAACAGTTAAGCTAGCAAATGCCAAAACTTGCCCAAATAGTAGAAAAAACCAAAAGAACATTTGAAAAAAAACTCTAACATTCAATTTAATCTAATGTGCTTTTTAATTTCCCGTAACGTCTTTGCCAACCCTTCGTCCTGGGAAGGTCTGCATGCTCCCAGCTCATGACAGCCCTCCTCTTCCTCACCTTTTCCGGGCACATTGCTGGCGCCGTTGTCAACCGGCAAAATGTGGCGCTCCAGTCAAAGGGGGAAGAATGTGCAGCCCTTAAGCCTTCTTCCTTACTCAGAAACAAAAAATTACCATTAAAATTACGGAAGAAATCGTCCAGCTCAATATAAAGTCAGCTCTATTTGTTTTTCATATTTCAGACCCGCGTGCTTGGCTGAGGAGGAGCGCCTGAGTGATGAAGACAAACTGGCTGAACTCCGTCTTAGAGACCGGCAGGGAGGGGTTTGTGTGCGCCTGGTCGTGCGTGTGAGAGAGAAAGAGAAGTGTCAATGGACGTGTCTCCTACTTGATATTGTTTTAAAAATCTATCTACATAATTGTATCGACTGACTGCTATGTATTTCCCATGGTATCAATTTTCTGCCTTGTTCAATAAAAGCAACGTGTGATGTGACAAAGATTTGTGTTTCTCTATGAATAAACACCTTCCCTCCTCGTGGCATTCGTTGCTTGCATTGTGCCTCCTTTTATGGCTTCTGCAGACGAAAAGTGACTGACATACCAGCCCTACAGCTTAGGGCATTACAGCCTCACTTTCACTGGATTCACGGTGGCATCTTGCTCCTCAACTTTGGTCTTTATCTACTCCTGAAAGATGGTAATCCAGTGATGAAAGAGGGTTTTGTCTTCTTTTATTTTAAACAAATGGATATTTTGCATTCAGGGTTGGGGTAAAAATAGTTCCCGCTGATAACCTACAACTTTTGTGTAAAAGGCTAGACTGTTTTCCAGAATGCTAGCTACAATGAACACCAGGGTGTTTAAACAGACATTATGTAATTAAAATATGAGTCTTCCAACATCTATAGTGCAATTCTACATTGAAAAACAGGTGTATGAAACCCTAAAACATGGACAGCCTGTATGCAAAGCAGTTGCTCTTAATTTGGCAGATAAAAGATAAAAATTTTCACTCCAAAAACAAAAGAAAAACAAAACTAAATATAACTGCAACTTGGAATTTCTGGAAACAATGACCTTGACATATTTTGTTAAAGTAAACCTTTAAAAACATATTTTACTACTGAAGCATCTGCTTCTCATAATTCAGCCCCTGAGGTGATTTATGACATCACGCATTCCATGGCATCATGTCAGTTTTCTCCTCTCATAGTTTCAGATAATCACTTCATGAAAGTCATGAAGGTTTCACACCGCGCAAAAGGTTTATTTCATCATATCTAACATCCTCAAGGACACGCAGATATAATTCAAGCATTGTTTCTGCAGCTGATGACCTGCAAGTGGAGGAATTCTGCCCTATCTCGGCAGCTCATCTCAAGGACGTGAGATAAAAGCCAGCTCAGATGTGCCATACTTTTCCCTTTCCATCTCCATCTGTTGCTAACTGGCTGTTTCTTTTTGCAGCACAAAACTATTAGGCTTGACTTTGGGCTGGCTTTGTGTTCTAAACTATCACCAGAAGAATCAAACAGAAAGGAGTGGGGAAAAAACAGCCCTAATCAGCTTGATAGCATTTTGGCATAGGAGGCTCTCATCTTAATTCTGAATGACCTCCCACAAAGCAGCAATCCCTTAACTGAGTTATCTTTCACCTCGGAAGCAGTAATTGAATGGAGAAGAATCAATGAGGTTATCCATAAATGCAATCATCAGAGAGCGCTGGCAATTGAGAGCATTTCAACAACAAGTGTCCCCTGTTATTGGTAGCAGGAAGGGCTGCATCAGCTGGTTTCTGGATATCGACCAGAAGACTCCAATACGATTTGTCATCATTCCCCCAGTCTGATTATAAAAGGATTTTCTCTCTATTTACTAACCCCAATACGTTATTGCAGTTTGGGATTTGTCCATTTAACAGTTATAAACACAGCATGTACTCTCCTTTACAATGCCAGGCCTACTGTGAACTAAACTGAGGAATCAAATCTGGTGGCATAAACAGGGAGTCTGAAAAGTCTGAAGCAAACAGAAATGTTACTCACACAGGGATAGTTGCATCACATTGGGAAAACGTGACAACATGCATAATATAGCACTAAAAACAAAGTGAGTTTACGCTGCTGTCATCATTATCAGTCTGACCGATGACTATAACGTCATACATCACTGCATATTTACAGTGGCATGGGATAACCCTGCAAGGGGGAGCATGATTGATTCGATCAGTGTAAAGACCATAGATTTTCATTTAGAACAAACACGAGATTCAGTGCGAAGATAGGTCACATGACTGTTTATGAGAAAAAGGCATTGCAAGGAAAAATGTAAGGGCAACCAGTTCTGGACAGGACGAATGGACAAAGAACAGGCTAAATGTCATGTTGACTTAACAAACTACTTATGTGACTTTTAACTTACATGATGACACATGTTCTGTCTGTTATTGAGGCCTCGGGCCTCTGCTGTCATCTCCAGTGATAAGTTCATTCTGCTGACTTGGATGGTGTCACTTTGTTTTCTTATCAATTCACAGAAACACACCACACACTCAGCTACAAGATGGAAGTCTTCTCAGAACTAACCAAAGTCACTTTCACTCAGCAGACTCACCAGTAGTGTTGAGATGTGCTGACCTGGCGCCATCTTCAGGCCAAACTCTGTAAGCAGAAGTCGAGAACTGCAAACTGTAATTGTCTGCACTGGAAGATTCTGGGAATTTTGAAAAAGATGGGAAAAGAAGAGAAAAAAACTGTATGTGAAAATCAAAAGCATAATAAGAATTCAACAATGACAATCAATGTGAAACTAATATATTCAAATCTGTATAAAAGAAAAAACAACACTATAGTTGACACATACAGAAAATAAGGGAGCGGTTATGCACAGAAAAACTTTGAAACATCACTGAACATGATGGAAATACCAAAAGTTATTTTGTGAAAAAGCTTCAGAAGATTTAGTTATTCTTTTTTCATTCATTTTTTCTTTTTTCTGAAACTGTGGACGGATGTTTGCCAAAGAAAACTTTTTATTTCCACAAAATCCCGCACACTACTTTCATATTTTAGTTCACACGCCAGCTCTTTGGTATGATTCCTCTCCTCTTCCATTAACGTTACAGCTCATGCAGCCATGCGTAATCTGCCCTCGGTCTGCCCTGCGTCAGCTCCTCTGTCCGCTTTCTCCTCAGCTTTCCTCTGATCCCGCACTTCTGTCTTCACTTTGAACTTAAGCTGGCTTGACAAACTAGATGAGATGACTCCTCTAACTTTAGGTCTCCTCTGTCCTCTGCTTGTGTCTCTGTGGTAAAAGCAGCTGTCATCTGCTTTGAGAGGAAAGATTACATCATGTGAGTTTGTGTGTTGGTAACTTTTCTTCCCCAAAAGCCCCCACTCTTTCTATATCAGTATTCATCAACACTGTCTCATCCTAAAGATCAACTTAAAGCAGCAATATGACCAAGCGCAGACAAGTGTTTCATTTTCCAGCTTCTTTTTGCAATCATCCTCTTTGAATAAAATAGCTGTAATATTTACTTATAGAAAAATTCATTTATTTTAGTTGCTACCATGGCTTCCTTGCTGAAAATTGTTCATATCATGTATATCAAACATGCAACTAACAACTACAAAACGGTGAAAATGGAATTTAAATGCAAGCTACAGAGCTATGATGAGTCCAATTAATCTTCATTGAGACTTTAGTGTACGATTCCTTTTAGTCTTGGTTTCCAGAAATAAAGCACAAACATTTATTCACAGAATGGCTTTATATTCCCGTTACATTAATGCATTTACACTGACTGATTAAACACAAAAAATGTCCCACAGTGTGAACACACCTCAGAAAGGAAAAGGATCAGCTTGGCAGAAACACAACGTTTTATTTAGGTGTTTCAAGAGGTTTTAAATGTTTTTTTCTAAAACAGTGATTTTAAGATCTGGGATCAGTTTGCATACATGAACAGGTCAAGTTTCACTTGGTGTTTAACCTCTTTTTTCATTTTCAGAATACAGCATCTAGTCATTGCACAGACCTACAGGTACACACATAAGCTGGGACATTTTCCACAACCAGAAAATGGAGGTAAGCTCACAGACTTTAGTCTCCTTGTCAGGCAGCATTAATGGATTAAATCTTGATTTCAAAGTTCTTTCAGGGCCCTGCTGGGCCTGACTATCAAATCTCCAGAAAAGCTACTTTTTCTGTCACAAATAAAAACTACATTTGTTCTTAGAACAGCAATTATAAGGTGTAAACGAACATAAAATCAGCTTTGTTTGTTGTCGTCTCTATTCCCTGAGATACTAAAACACCTGTAAAAAGACATTCACTTTATTATTCGTTTTATTGTTTGTTAAGGCTATTACAGTTAACAAACAGACTTAATGTTTCTTTTCTACTTCTTCAATCAGCATCCAAATTCTCCTACTGACTGCTGTAATGGTGAGAATCTGCAAAACTTTGGTCTGCTTTGTAAAATGTCACGAAAGACAGAACGAAATCTGCTAGTTTCATAAACTAACAGTTTACCCAAAATAGAACACATACAAAAAACATTGGTTAAAAGCAGAAGATTAATTAGTTAGTGGGAAGCTCATTTTGAATTCAGGGCAGGGAAATGTCTCATAAAGGCAAAGCCTGCAAATGCGTGTTCGTGTGAAAATGGGGCAGAAATGCCACCATGATGAGCAGATGACGCTGATCTTACATCGTCTATGAAATGGTATAATGTTCCACTTTCACCAGTGATGTGTTTTCTGTGTCTCATTTTTGAATAATGGGTTTTTATGATTACGTTGTGTTTCGTTTGACATTTCACGCAGCATCTGACCTGTGTTGCTGATGGAGCTGTTCTTGAAAGGATCAGTAGGCTGCAGAAAATTGACACAAGTTCAGTATTGTTTGTAACACAAGACACTATTGTCAGAAAAATGCTAATTATGGACCCTGTTGCACAAGATTCATTTAAATTTGAGCGTTTTTCTGAAATACCACAAACAGATTTCTGATTGTATCCCCAGTACAATTTTCTTTCTCTGTCATAATGTTGACATGTTTAGTTAATAATGTCACAGGACACATTTCCACACAGAGCTGGTGCTTGAATTGAAAGAGGATACAAATATTCCCTGGAAGTTCTAATGTGGTTTATGTTTAGCAAGTATTAGCTAATAACAACACTCACAAACGTTAAAATCAAAACAAGACTGTTTTTCAATGCTTTGTTGGGTATGGTACCGGGCCCAATAGCCGGTGCCCGGCCTCAGCATTATATGCTGGTGTAGATTACTGTTGTATAATCAATCCTTGGATTAGGTAACAGGTAGTGAGCTGGAGTTTCTGCAACTTTATCCCTGTTTGATGCCGTCGTTGTCCCAAGCCTGACACAACATGTGTGGTCTTTTGTCCCAGCCAGAGTGGTAACACCCGATCCTCCTTGTGTGTCCATCATCGAGGCCTGTACTGAAGTATGAACGTCAAATTGTTTCCAGCTACACTTGTACAATTCAGATTTTTCCTGCTAACATTTCAGACATGAAATACTGATATATTCACATGTAAACTATATCCACTCTTAATGGGACAGTTTGTTAAAGGGGGTGATCTAAGGTGTCATCAAATAACTTTGGTTAAAATCTAATGTGAAGTTTTGGGACTTGGATTTTAGTGATTGATAGATTAGAATCATGATGAACCTAACCTACAAATTGACTCATCTGGATGTTAGTGATTGTTCTAATGCGGCATGAAACATAAAATACTTTAAATAAAGATTAAAAGAGCACTCATATTGTTTACGTATATCTTTACAAATCGTGCCGTTTTTAGCTAGCCTAAAGTCACACTTCTCACATGCAGTTGGTGCACTGCTTTAGTTTTTCCCTTTCTGTTTAACTCCTTTCGATGCAGAGGCAAATAGTTTTCATCTTTCCTCCGTAATATTTTTCAGGCTGTCCACAATGTCCTCACCGCTGACCCACGGGACAACCTTTGCCTTCAACTTATCACCCTGGGATTTCTGCATCTCCAGCAGCAGCTCGTGCATTGGGAAGTCCTTCCTGGGGTAGGCGGTGTCGTCGGGGCGCAGGGCCTGAGTGGGGCACACGTCATTGGCCCCGTCTCCGATATAAAACACCCTGGAGAATGGGGAACCGCCACGCTCCTTCTCTCGGACCGCAAGATACTCCCGGAGGATTGCCTGCTTACACATGTTGACTGGGCAGCGGGGGCATGAGTGGGAGTGGAAGGGTTGCAGGACAAGTCGACCGGCGGCATCAAACTCGCCTGGGTTAGTGAAAACCTTCCTGAACAGGTGACGCACCCCAGCGTGCTTCAGCCACGTTTCAATAAAATAGGTGTTGGCATCAGAGACCACCACAAGCTCAAAGTCCTGCTGGTGGTTCTGCAGGAACTGGAAGAGGTTGAGAAGGCCAGCAGTGGCGGGGATCTTCTCTACCGCTGAATGGATGGCTTCTTTAGACACACCCTGATCGGCCATGTAGGCCAAGATCTTCTGACTGTACTCGGAGTAGTGCCCTTCCCGGTAGCTCTCGGTCAGCCAGGTGGGGAGCTGCTTCCCCGGCAGAACCTGCACCACAGCTTCGTCACTATTTTCATTGATGATGGTCTCATCGAAGTCAAACAGCACCAAAAAGCGTTGCTCCTGCGGCACAGCGTGGGTCGAGTTTGATGGAGCCGTCATGTTTGGATTGTGGTCCCTCTCTGGAACAAAGAAATGTGAAGAGTCAGGAATTTTCTCACTTTTTTTCTTTGGCAAAGACAAAAGAGCCATTTTGATTTGGTTCAATCGACTCCACAAATGAAACAAGATGCCAAAATGACCGGTGCGTGAATTACACTGTGTCCAGAACGGGACAGATATCTAGATGTCTGAATACCCCAGGAGTCAGTAATTCCACAGGGAAATGTTTGTAATGAAACAGGAACTACAGAACCAAAGCAAAGCATAAACAGGATGTTCACAGAACTTAGTGAGAAAAGAAGCAAAGCAAAACTAAAGTAGTGTAAAGAAAATACTGCATGTCTTCAATTATAATCAAATAACTGCAGTATGTTCTTATGTCAGAGGCTACTTTGTACTGTAACATTCTTACATTCCTTTAGGGATCGTACCAAGGGTCGGAACAAAGCCATTCCCTTATTTATAGCACAAATATGTCTACATATTACAGGCCTTACAATTCCAGTAAGTCTACTTTATTCTGTTTAACAAGTCCATATCAGACACACACATATTTAAATCTACATATATCCATTTGTCTCTAAATGTGTCTGTTATATATTTATATCCATAACGTGTATGTACATTATAAATATATTGTATATATATAAACACACACAATCAAACATACACTCTACTTCATAGTTGCTGAGTGCTTATGTATTTCTTGTAAGCGGTCACTGACATGCTGTCTTTAACTTTCCAAAGAAACTAATCTGACATGTCATAACAGGAAAACACATTAGAATGTGGTCTGCAAACTACCTACAAGCTGGCCAACCCAGTTGGTTAGCTTCTCACTTTGTGGTATGATTTGATAAGGTATGATATAAGTAACTCTACTCTGAGGATGTACAAAGGTTATTCGAGTTTAACCCTTTAAAGTGTGATCCAAGAAAAATATTTAGATTTTTTTTCAAGTCTTTATTTTGCCCTTAAGCAAAATATGAAAAAAGCACAAATAAGTTTCGAACATTAATTTATTAATACCAATTTATTGCAAGACATTTCATAAACCGTATGTATCAAATATGATACATATGACATTATAGGGTTAAAGAATGCTTTCTTCTTTAAAATGAGGATCTCCCCTGGTGTTTTGACAATGATGTTAGAAAGTGCAAACATCTGTGGCACTCAGGAGCACATCATATATTACCATATAAGTACTTTATTTTCAATCTCACCAAAATAGAAACGTCTCACCACAGAACACAAGTGATGATCACTACGATCAACTCTGTTTAAAATATACCCACACAGCCCTGCTGAGCGACCAGAGCTCCAAACTGTACAGATCAAGGTCCAGACCTGTCCTTTAAAAATCTACCATCAGCCCGCAGGGTGGACTCAGAATACCGAGGCTGACAGATACAGAATATGAGCTTTATGCACAGCGTGAGATTAAGATTTATGTAGGCCATGTGTGCCACTACCGGGCTCTCCGCGGTTATCTAATCAATCTACTCATCAGTGTGGCAGACCACGGTGGCTACATCATCCCCACTGAAAAAAAGGAATTTGATAGCAGATCAGTAACTTGATAAAATCCCACGTAAAGTCGTGCAACTTGACTTGATGCGGGTTTTTTTTTTTGGTCAGACGGCGCGTCAGAGCGCGGCGCGGTCACCTGCAGCGTCCCCAAACCGCACCGCACCGCACCGCACCGGCCCCGCACCGGACCGGTCTCCTCCAGGAGCCGCCTCCTGCGTTATTAACGGGGAACACCCGCACGCCGAGCTTTTCTAATTTTAACCCCCGAGCCTATTCCCGTCCCGAGAGGTTACCGCTGAAAGTCAGCGGCGCTCCTCCGGTCAGAAGTGTGCGGATAAAGCCGGGCAGCGCAGCAGTCCCAGCGGCTCCCAACGCACAGGAGGACCTGAGCTCCTAACAGAAACACGCCAGGGGTTTGAATTGTAATAAACGAGAAGGAAATAAAAAAAACCGGCCTACCAGTGGCGGTGGTTGGGGGGTGTAGCAGCACGGCCGGTATGCTGGAGGTCCGACGTCCGCACTCACATCCCACAAGATTTTTTTTTTTTTTTTTTTTAAAGGAGACTCCCAACGCACCTCGAAGGGTAATGCCGCTTATATAAGGCGAGTAAAGCCGGCCGGCTCACTTCCGCACGCCGCACGACTTCCGCTCGGGAATCTTCAAATAAAAGCCACCTCAGCCATTCCAACCCGGATAAAGCCCCGTCAAATGTGAAGCTTAGTCCCCTGTAAAGGAGATATATGATTCAAACAAGCCAAAGAAAAGGTCGTGAAGCATTTGTCAAAGAGGACCCCCCCCCAAAAAAACCAGCAGCTCGCTGCACACGTGCTGCCAGAAGCGACTAACGTTTAATTTGAAGCAATGGCACGGTCATGGTAACTTTGACCTTGATCATGACTTAAGGCTCAGATTCCATCACAGCTTTGTGCTACGTAACGTCCAGCTTTGTGCGTCTACAGTTACCTATAGAATGCACCATTTGAAAGCATTTTTTAAGGCCATTGAATAACATTTGGATCGTAGGAACCAGCCATGAGTCAGCTCTTCTTAGCCCCAAACATGTCAGATGCAAGAATAAAACTCTGAAATTGCTTTCCAAAACCAAACCTGTTAATGATGCACTAAATTTACATGCTTAAAAAAAGTTAACATCTGTAATCTAATGTTTAATCTCCACCATAGCTGGTCATATCTATGTGCTTTGAGTTAAATCAGAGGAATTGTAGACAGTTTAATCTGTGTTAAAATGCCTGCCCTCCTTAATTACTAATGAGCCGATGGCATCTGAGATATGCTCCCTTTAGGATTTATGAGCTGTGCACTGGGAAAGTAATGTGCCAGTACCATTCTGACAGTGCCCCAATGAAATAAAGTACTGTACACATGAATTGCATAAGATATATATGTAAGGGAAACAGAAAAGCTTGACGCAAATTCAGTATTTTAAACTTATGCTCACAATTCTATCTATATTCCCCGATGTTTTTTCAATTAAAACTTTATTTACATAGGTAAATGATCCAGTGACATCAACAACTCTTTCCCAATGTGACCTGGAGGTTTGACAGCATGCTTTTCACCGTTTTTTATGTCGTACAACCAATTGCAAAATGTAAGAGAGAAATGTTTTGCTTTGTGCATTCAGTCTTCAAAGTACTTTACAATTTGAGAGCAGTTCTAACATGTCATTTTATGGACAAAGGTCAAGCAGCCACTGCACAGTGGAGTACAGAAAACACAAGCTGAAACCCTGTGGTAGAAGTGTTTATCTCAGAGTAAACTAAGTAATTTGTGCAGGCTGCAGCTTGCAGACTCTTTAACCATGAGACTGTCGGTGGCTGCAGTTTCGAGTTAAGGAGTGTGTGAAGTAACGTCTCCTGTACAAAGGGCAGGGCAAATTCAAAGTGTGGTTAGAGAGAGATAAAAAAAAAAGCAAGTCACTTTCTGCCCATAAAGAGACGGGATAAGAAGTGCAACATTACTTTAGACTTACAAAAATTCAGCTTCGCAGCTCTCCGTAAACATGCTGTTTACATCAATATATTCCTGAATTTATAATGTGCCTTCATTTGAATGAAATCATCACTACTTCAAACATTTTTTTTTTTTTAAGTTATCCTGTTTAATTTGCAACCTTTTCAAGGTTTACTTACTAAATACACAATTTTTAGTCCATGCTTCTGTCTGCATGTTCAGCTCAGCAAGCAATATACAACATAACAGGATCTTATAAAGCCATTTTTTAACACAAGCATTTTTTAACTATTCATCATCATTGATAGTACTTCTATAATGTTTTTGTTTACTTTGTCACCCGTGCATTTCTCATTTATCATAATCATCATCTATCAACAATAATGTTTAATGGCATGCATTCTTACTGTTAAATAAACCTTACCCTTAAATGAAACCGCCAGTATTAATGTGGAATTAAAATGCATGTCTTGAGTCACTAACTAGTTATTCAGCTGAAAACATTGTGGATAGTGATAAAAAGTACACATTACAATTGCTGCCCAGAGTGGTATATTCAGATTGAACATGCTGTTTGAACAACAGCGTATATCCCACACTGATATCCTTCAGCATGAATGAATCAATCATTTCTTCACATATGACTTTTAGGGATATATCCCCAGTTAATTTTAAAAATATTAAACTAAGATGTTTCAGCTAGATAGCTGGTTCATGGTTCAGTTACAGTATGCACAGTATAGCTTTCTGTCAACAAAATCCAACTAGAAAGTTTCACAATCATGAGATAAAGGACAAACATTAACAGACATACTGTTGGTTTTGATTTAGGTCAGGAAGCTAAACAGATCTGACCTAGCAGAATGTCACTCTCTACTTTAGCTTTCAATATGCCAACAACTTTGCTTTTCTTTCTACGTTCACATGAGGACCTCTGCTGGTGGTGTTTTTTTATGTAAAGAACTGTTAAGGACATAGAATAACATTTGGGGATAATGCACCAATAAACAAGGCTAAATTCAAAATATATGACCCAACATTCAGAGCAACTCACCACTGACAGCATCTTTGTTTAAGTAGTGTGCAAAGCAGTTAAACATTAAACTGACAATACCTCTCAACTTACTTGTAAAGGTCAATAATTGTCAATACCAATACATTATCACTATGTTTTTTCAAAGATAGTCACAATGCACAAAAAAGAAAGAAAAAAGTTAGATAAAATAAAGAGAAAAAATACTTAAAAAATCAGACTACTAGGAACACAAGTGGTATGTTGTCTATGTAAACACAAACTCAAATTTACGTGTAGGTGTTAAGATTTATGAATTACACCTATTTTTGTCTGAAGTGCAAAGTGGTGATGCTGAGGATTACCTTGTATAGCTGGTCCTACTCGTAATCCTTCTGGTAACTGCCCAGTTCCTGTTTCTATAGAAACAAGATTAGTTTATATTTGAGAAGAACCTTTGTGGATCATAAGGAAACGTTGTATACAAATCAATATGCCAATAAAAATATCAAATGACATTTATGAATTATTTTCAGAGCCAAGATGTGTCATAAGAAGAGTGTTTTTTTAATTGAGACCTGGTGTCAGCATGGATCGTAATACCTCCTGGATTTCAGGCTATATGGGCAGAGACCGCAGGCAGGGAGTTAAGAACAGAAGGGGTAACAGAGCTTGTAAACAACATATGGTGTGTTCCTGGAAATGTCACCAAGAACAAGAATTATTAACTTTTGGCTGTGAATTTCTGCATTTCTGTCTGTTGTTTGCCAAGAGAGCTCACCTGTGTTTCTTTGGGGATGCTGTGTGTGAGACATACTCAACTTAGCAGTTGCCAAGCTACACAAACACCTCCAATCCATTCAGTGCACTGGAGGGTTTTAAACCATTTGAGTGGGTGGTAGCCTCTTCTTTGGTGAACATATCAGGTTAAAAAAAACATTTGAAAAAAACAGACAACAGTCTCTGATGAAATAATGACTCATTTCACTCCGGATGGTTGCTTCAAGGAATGGAAACATTTCAAATGTATACAAGTTCACAAAATGGGTATCTGAGTACTAAAGGTCTAAAAGTCCATCCTGTTGTACAAATGTGGTCAGAAGTGGCTCAATGAATATGAATACATCAAATACACCATTTTCAAACAGTCTGGGTATTGTCTTCAGACAGTCTGGATACTTAATCAATATGGTGAAGTGTGTTTCAAAATTTTACTCGGCAAAAAAAAACATATGTCTAATAATTCACGACTGGAACACATACGGTAATAAATGCAAAAACATTTGACTGCTCTGGAATAAATTCAGTAATTCAGTTTGAAGCATCAGAGAAACTTTAATCATACAGAAAGGTCTGGGTAGTATGCACACAACTACAGTCGAAGGGGAGTGTAAAAAGCAATGTTCTATGACACACATCAATGGAGTAACACACTCGACCTCAATGAGCTATCAAAAAGGTTTTGAGCCTTTTAGAGTGCTAATATGTACATGTTGAACAAAAGAGACAAACTGAGTAGTTTGACATCATTGGCAATAAAAGAAATGCTCATATTCAAACATTTACAATATAAACTTATTTTGAATTACGTGAACAAATACATTTTTTCAGGAAAATGCAGATAATTGTTAAATGGTGGAGAACAGATTTGCAAAAATATAATTGTGACTTAATTAAAGGAGCTTGTGAGCATTTTGGACAAGAGTCGAAACGTCTAGGACCTTCAAGCTCAAGGTTCATGTTTTTTATTGTCCACTAGATGTCCCTCTTTGCATGTATCAATGCTAAAGCACTATCCATTTCCATACCACTTAAAAAAGAGGCTTTAGTATTTTGTGAGGCATGTGTTAAAAGAATAAAAAGCCTTGTTTGCTTTTCAGTCTGACTAGATTTTACTTTAACTGTAACCTTAGGTCGTTTATACTGATTTATTACGTGAGAATGACTGGGTTTGTATGCTTAAAGAATAAGCAGAGTAACATCCCAAAAGTGCCACGACAAAGCTCCAGTTCCCCACTGAAAGTCCATGACAGGTCTTACATCACACTGCAAGATAGAAACCTGGCCAACCCTAACAATACTTGTTCAAGTGGCCAAAAGAAAAGAACGTCACAAATGTAAATAACATAAAGCATTATCTGCAGGACTTTGTTTTGAGTATCCTTTGGAAATCAAAACAATATGTGGTTGGAGAGGGAGAACAATTCAAGAGGTCAGCTTCAGAGGACTGACAGAAAGCAGCACTGAGCGGGTGGAGAGAGGAATGTGAGGGGCTGGGATGGTGTGGACGGTGCTATGGTTGCATGATCTGCGTCACTGCATTGAGTTGCAGCCACAGCTCGACAAAAAATGTGAATATCTGAGCTCAGACAAAACTTTTGATTATTCAACTAAGCCTAACAAAAGAGAAAATTAAGAAGAAAAAGAGTAAAAAGTAGGTCCTGATATAAAGAACCTGATCACATACATATTAAGATACTTATTTACCAGCTATATGCGCGAGGAATAAAAACTGGAAGCGATAAAGCATTTAGAGTACAAGACAAAATTAAGAGGACAAAAACCATCATTCACATTGTTTTTTCCTTTTCCTCCAACAGTTTAAGCTTCAGGTTAGCGTAACAATCTGTGCAAGGAAATCCAAGCCTGACGCCAAGTGGGGAAGTCCCTCCATTTGTATTTTCACAGCTGGCTCAACAGTAGTGATGAAAGCTGGTTTTGAATTTGGCACAATTAAGTGAGGAAACTGCAAAAGATACAGCCCAATATGACACAAGTTTTCCTTAAGCAGCTTTAAACATTCGAAATCTGTGCAACAACACTGAGGGGAGAGCAAGCTCAATGAACAACTTTGTCTCATCGTCTCACAGACATTTCAGTGGCACATCTTTCCTACCAACACACGTGAAGACAAAATCAGGCTGCACGACTAAAAGATTCTCCTTGTTTTTCTCCAGTAGTTATGAATTCATCTTTGAGCGGGTTTCCATGTTTACTGCCAGATCAGACTTGTGCTTAATCTTCAACACACTTTATTCAAGTTAAGTGTGATTGAAACCAGCTCCCTAAATAACTAAGATGAAAAATGTCATTATAAAAAAACAATGGTGTAAAACATACAAGTTGAAATAAGAACTTTATTCCTAATCTGTAAAAGCCACAAATATTCTCATTGAAATATTCAAATTTTCAAGTGTTCTTTGCCAATTTGATTTTGAACATTAAAACAGCAGTCGCAAACATTCAGACTTCTGAGACACTCACTTTCTGTCAAAGCTGCTATCATTAATTCAGTGACTTTGTGTTGGTCAAATAACAGGAAGGGGGTTATCCTAAAACTGCCCCAGTCTTGTTTGTTGAAGAACTTTGAAGAATATTGCCTCCTTTCATCAGACAGCCAAGCAACAAAAAATCAAAAGCACACCAAAATTTGGATAAATGCATTAAAACTAAAACGTCCTAGAAAATCCTCACAATTCCCTTTCTTTTCTGACTGTAATGTGCAACTGTCCCCTCATGTTTGGAGCTGGGCTGTTTTCAGATATGTGTGATTGATAGCAGTGGTCAGGCCTGGCTGTGGTCTGCAGTCTGCACAGGCCCTCTTCCTCCAAGACCAAAGCAACTGAGATTGTTTATGCAAAGTCCCTCTGTTCAATTCTTTAAAGTTGCAAGCCAGAGTTTAGTTTTACACATTCCGGACAGATCCTAGCTTGATATCTCTACTGATGTTAAAGCTGTTAAGCTGTGTCCCTTTACTTACTGTCAATAAAATACCTCTGTTAATGTATCAGAACACGGTGAACCTTTATTTAAAAATGAACACAGACACTGCACTTCTGGCATATTGCACAACAAAACAACAAACACAAAATACTGACAAAAACAAAACACTGAATCAATGACATGTTCCTCGGTTTGCTCTGTTTTTCTTTTGGTTGTTTTTTTTCTGCTTAAACCTTTGGAGAAACCTGTTAAGGAAGAGCTTGAAGACACAATCAAACTCTCTTACTCAATCATCTCCTGCTTTAACTTCCTCTGTGGCCTCCTCTTCCTTCTCGCTGACAGCAGCTTCATTTTTTTCCACCTGTTCTCCCGCCTCAGACTCTTCAGACTTTGGCTTTTCTTCCCTTTTCTTGGGGTCAGGAAGAAGAATAACTTTTCCAATATTCTGGCGTTCATGCATGCGCTTCATGGCTTCAGCCACCTGAGAGAAAACAGGAGGGGCAGAAGTTATATTGAAACCTGCTGTGAAGTTAATGCAGAATTTGTCTGTTCTTTTTACCCTACAGATGAAAATAAATAAATAAATAAACAAATATTGTCAAACAACAATGTGGGTGAACATATCTCTTTAATGTACTGTTATAAAATTATGATTTCTTTAGTATTCCAAATTGTTTCCTTTTTTTTTTTTTTACTAATTTGATTGTTATGGTATTTTTGTATTTCAGCTTTGCAAATTATTTCTTATTTATTGTTTGTTTTGGTACCAAACAAAATAATCAACAAGATAATAACTGTATCCATTTCAACATTGGAACTACTGTTGCTGTGCTGAATCTTATTGAACCCCACAGAATTAAAGCGTGAGTCATCTGGACCACCCATCCTTTCCAGCCACCGTCTGGTTCTTACTCTCAAACACAGCCGGGGTCTCGTCTGTTTGTTGAAGCCAGCCAGGAGAACTCACTTTAAGACAGTTAATCTCTCTTCTAGTGAGGCCACAGCAACAATTTGGTGTGTCACCTAGCAACTGGTGAGAGGTTCTATGTTCTCTGATAAACGATGAAAGGAGGAAAATTCAGTAAGAGCTGTCTGTAGATGTGAGGCTGAAATGCCGCTCATCTACCTGCTGTCTTTCCTTAATTTTATGAAAGTACAGCTGTTAGCTAAATGGCCTTTGTTTGCAATAGGCTGAACTGGTTAGCTTTGCTCGACAAAGAGAGGAAATTAGAAAATGAGCTAGGCTGTCTGTTCAGAAAAGTCTCTGGAATGGCTCAGTGGCTAAAATGCTACATTTTGTTGGTCTAATCTGCACCAAACCGAAGTGGCCGAATTGTTGGCTGCTGATCTAACCGTATTTTGAATGACAAGTATCATTTCCTAAAATGGCCTTTTTAGGATTTCTGTCAGGATTTTTGTCAAACTAATTGGACATTAATTGGATAATTGGAGACCACCACCCACATAAAAACAAAACAACCGCACTCTTATCCCGCAATGAAGTAGGTGACAAACAGGAGACACATGGGTGAAGGGCAAGCTGGCATCACACAAGTCCCTCTAAACAGTGAGGTCACTCAGCTAAATTCATGGTGTCACACTGATGGAGGGTTATGCGCCTATTTGGCATGTGGGATTTACTAACCATGAACAGCTGTGGTTCAAAGAAGTCATCCTTTTTTACTGATAAATGACTGAATGATGCATTTGTATCCGCTGGCATATGACCGAGTGTTATTTCATGCCGTTATATGTCTATTGGTCTATTGCAGTCTTCAAACAAACAGACATACAAAGACCTCAGTTGTATTTATTTGATCCTTTTCATGGAACATCTATTCATTTTGTTGCAATCTGCTATTTCACTGGGCCCCCAAATCATGCAGAGACTGCTTCTATAACGATTACTTCGACAAAAACAACACTGTGGTAAATCTTACCTCCTCGAAATGAAAGGAGGAGTCAATGTGAGGTTTGATCTTCCCTTGTTTGTACAGGTCCAGCAGCTTTGACATTGTGCTGGACAGGAGCTCATCATTGGTGACGTGGCCCAGATGGAAGCCAGCGATAGCCTTGTTGGTCTGCATCAGTTTGAAGGTGCTGAGGGAGAGCTGGTGGTACCAGGTCTTTGCCATGGCCAAGAAGTTCTTCTTCTGCCCCGTCACGCAATTGGCTGCTCCTGAAATGACAGCAAAAAAAGGCAAATACCATCTTAAAAGCGCGGTTGCTATTCTCTCATCATGTTTTCTTTATCTATCAGGGATGATGCAAGCATCCTCATTCAAGCCATTCAGGCCATAACGACATCAGATTTTTTTTCACATGATTGGACATGTGAGGCTAAAATCTGCAACAAAAAGCAAAATCTAACCTGAAGAGTAGTCCATAATTCAATTTTCCCGATGTATTCACAAACATATCAGCAGAAAGTTTATATTAGCAAAAACACCTCACTGACATTTAAACCAGAATCCTTCTGTTCGAATGGCTCAGGCTGAGAGAAAATAGATGAGTCTTCTGGTACAAAACAAGATGGTTGCTCATCATCAACTTAGGTGTTTCTAAAAATGCTTATTTGGAATAGTCAAGACTAAAAACACCAGATTAAAAACAAATTCAGATAAAATTAAGCTTCAAAAGATTCAAAGAAATAATAACATTTATTAACAACATTTTTCCAAAAGTCCAAATCTTTTCATACCAAAGACTATTAGCATGCCCATTGGTTTGAGCAAACCAAAACCCTTCTGGGTATCAGAGCCGCCCAGTGGGTCGAGGACGATGTCCACACCTGCAGAGAGGAAACAAAATAAGACGAACAAAGGAGAGGGAAACATTAACTCACAATTAAAAAAGGCTAAATTAGCTTTTACATTACAGCAGTAGCAGAGCTTTATTCATCTTTTTCTGCACTCACCCTTTGGGCTGATTTTGCGGATTTCAGCCACATAATCTTTGGTTCGGTAGTCGATGGGGTGAGCAACCCCGCCTTGGACGATAGTCTCGTGTTTGGAGGCTGATGCAGTGCCAAAGATGGTCACATCCTGCACAGTCTGACACAGCTGGGTAGCAGCAATACCCACACCTCCTGCAGACATGCATGCACCCACAAAGACAGGAGACTTGTAGCAGCAGCAGGTGCTTCTCATTCAGCCAAAGGAGCCGTTCCAACCCCAGTGTGGTCTGACAGAGTCAGCATACATTCACAGACCAGATTCCTCTTCACCTATATAAATTCAATACCTGTCACACTGTCATGCACAAATATTCACATTGCAGAAACCCAAACGGAAAGTTACTCACATACCACAGAATCACATGAAACGAATCACAAAAACAAAACAAACACGTTCATGCGAAATGTTGTTGTGCTTATGGCTTTATATTTAACTTTTGTAAAATTTTGTGATTAAAAAAAAGGTATGTCTTGTAAAAAGTTATACATGAATGAATGTAACCTGCAGTCTGATTTGGGTCAGATTAATGTCCCAAATTAGTGACATGACCCACCCACTGTGACATTACATGCAGAGAAATTAGATTTCTGGATGGAATTTTAGGGTCTTGCAATCATTCAACATTCAGCGTGTTGTGTGCATGTTATCCAGTAATTGTTCCTAGCCTTTTCTACACCTTGGTCTTATGTGACAGATCCAGGTCAGCTATCCACCATCCACCTGCCCTCATCTGAACCTCAGATTACCTCTGGGCACAACTCGGGGTATGTCTCCACTTCCAGCATGTTAGTCTATCATTTATTAGTTTCTAGTTTTTATCTTGCAGTGAAAAAAATAGCTAAATGCAAAAAAAAACATTTTCCCCACCAACAATGCCTTGCAGTATTTGTTTTAAGCACATGCAACACTTTGCCATAGATGAGGAATAGCTGTATCTGGGAAATACCATGCAATTTTGAAGCAAGCGTGCTCGATAATGATCCATTTTGCCTTTTTATGGATAAGCTGCTATGAGACCACAGAAGAAATTCATTTACGCTATGACCTCAGTTCTGAGCTTTGGTCTCCAGCGTGACAATGTATCATCACAGAAATGCAGCTGCTTTCACAGGAGTGATTAGAGAACTGAGGTTACACATTTTGCCCAGGAGACTAGAGGAAAAGATTGTAGAGCTGACAGTTAACTCTCTGGGGAGACAGCTTTCATGTGCCACAGCATCTACTTAAAGGACATTCTTTATGTTTCTATAAGACATTTTAAAAATAAATCAGGGCTATAGTCCCTTTTTCAGCTGACTGATCTTATGTATAAATCTTAAAGTCACAAATAAGATATTTCTATTTTCAAGATTTGCAATTAAGACACATTGTAAGGAAAGATATTAAACAATCCTCTCCTCATTCTATGCTGGTTTCATACCTGCAGCCATGTGAATAAGAACACTTTTGCCAGGTCTGAGATTAGCCATCTCAAACAGCATAAGGTAGGCCGTCATGTAGTTGATTGGAAGAGCAGCAGCTTCCTCAAAACTCATCTCATCTGGGATTGGGAAGGTGCGGTCAGAGGGAACCACAACCAGCTCCTGCCACATGCCGCTGCGACTCATCGCTATGACACGATCTCCCACCTGAGAGAGCAAAGAGAAGGAGACGATGACAAAGCTGGCAACTCTGACCATCCTGCCGGTATTAGAGGCGGCTTTCTGTCTTTGGAAAGATACTTATCTTTTAAAATGAAACACAACATTTCTGTAAATCACCAGATCAAATATAATGGAGCTGCTCCATCAACACAAATGAAAAATAGGTTAATTACTGAATCGGAAGGAATCAATTTCAAACAAGTCTGCATGGCTAAATGCCACATGAGGTCATGCTGGTAACATCCCACACATAAGCAGTGCAGCAGACTTGTAAACATAAGAAGGAAGAGTGCATGAATCTTTTATAAGCTCAATTTGTTTGCTCATGTACGTGTAAATGTATCTCAAGCTGAAGGGAAGTCATCTGATTTGCTTTTTAATGACATGAGGGCATTTTATTACAACCCTCCTCAGTTATGTCAACACAGCAGAAGCAGCCTTTTTACACCTGTATCAAGGTCAGGATAGTTTCAAGTTCCAGGAACCGTGACTGAATTTATTTGGAAGTTTGAAATAAAGTTGCAACTTAGCGGTAAAATGTAGGTGGAACAGTTTTGATACAGACACAAGATGGGAAAAGATGTGGAAAATAAAAATTTGTCAGTCTCAAAGTTTATTTTCAGCCTAAGACAACAGACACAGGCTGGAATTCAAGTTTATGTGCTAAGTCATTTAACTTTTCAATTTCCATTCATTTAAGACAAGAAAAGCGGCTTATAGGAAAAGGTG